AAAGCCACAAGCTTCTAGCTGGTCTAATACAATTACATGATTGCTACACATGAGACTATCTAGTGTTCAGTCTTGAAAAGATATGTTTTGTGCTTCTACAAAAGTAGTTGGACCTATGAATTATTACAAAAATACATTTACAAAAATGCATGGGTATACAGCAATGCCTTTCAGGGTGTGTTCCAGTGAGTGTCTTTTACTTTAATGGCAAGTATAGACTGTTCATCTTGAACATTCAGGACTAGTAAGGCCTGAGTTAAAAACACATTTAAAAATCCAATTAAAGTACAAATAAAAATGTAATTAGGATAATCTAAAAAGACATCAGACCATAAAAGCCCTCAGCATGGACAACTTTGTTTCAGGTTTTAACATTTGGTTGAAATAGGAATATTTGTAATACTTCCAAAAGAAAGGCAGTATTAGGAAGGGCCCTAATATTAGGGCTGAAGATTCCAGGGTTCTAGGATAGCTCATAATGAGGACTCTCCAGGCCCAATCACTAACTGCACTGGACACACCGTCTAGTAAGCAGTCAAAAAGGCAGGCAGCACTTTTGCTCACTGGTTTGCATCTTGTGCCACCTTCTGCGGCCAGTTGTCCCATGAGCAGGCTTTTGCTCACAGTATGCTCCTGCTGGTGGAAGGAAGACACTGATGTTTGTCAATTCCCTTTATGCCCCTAAACCTACTCCAGAGGGTTGGGTAAGACAGCCGAGGGGAAGGAGAGTTGAAGAAAAATTCCTCCCTTGTTGTCACTGGAATTCTGAAGTGATGCTCAAGGCCTTAGAGCCTTCATCCATGTGAATTAAAGGATATAGGACCTGGCCCAGGACAGAAAGGGTTCTAGCTTTGTGACAAAGATATAGTGGTATACTTAGATGTCAGACAAAAACAACCAACTGATCATCAAGACATATTGTACCTAAATCTGTAGCCATCAATCCGGCTTTGCACACTGTGTTCTTTCCATTTCCAATTCTATTCATTCTACATCCACCCCGCAAATGTGCATTGTATTCACCAGTTTCTCTGGCACAGCATTCCTACCAAAATGTCTGACTGGGTTTCTTTTCAGCATGTTCCAGTCCACTTCAGAACATCAAAGGATGCACTTTTTTCACAGAAATACATACAATATTTGTTTTTATTCTGACAGCTAAGTAATTTTTTTGTCAAATTCTTGGAGCACGACAGTGATGGCATATATACATATTCTAAAATGACTTTTACTGTAAGGACAGTAAAACATGCACCCTACAAATCTCTTTTCTACAGATATCTCAGTGACATATCTGTAGAACAGAGATGTGGGATTTCTGCTTAAAATGTTCATTATTTCTGTTGTTATTATTCCTAATATTAATACTATTAAATGAATTTTAGGGCCACCTATTGGTGTGTATTCCCTGCCAAAGTAGGTTTTAACAAATCAATCTAATGCAACACAAAAATTCCAAAATTTTAACTAGAAGTCAACCAATAAAAGCCACACAGAGAGGTAACAACACTAAAATTACAGTGGCAGATAAAACACATTTTGAACAACCATAAAACCATCTAATGAAATCTGGAATTAAAAAAGAATTGCTAGAGTTCTTCTAAAGGCCAACAAATATACCCAAACAAATTTCCATAGGGAGGGAATTACAGAGATATGGAAGCACTATGGAGAAAGCTCTGTCCCTGGTATTCACCAATATAACTGCTTGCAGCAGGGAGCAGGGCTTTAATCTTAAAGTTGGTACATATGACTGTGGGTGGGCCATCCGAAAGTTTTCTTATAATCCTTAATTCCTTTCTTCATTCACCTTGGAGCCTTATAGTTGATAGATTGAATAGCTGGATTGGCAAGTATAAAAACAGAGGTGTGAAAACATCTGGTAGCTTATAAAGGGCATGAATAATTAAGAGTATGGGTCCAACTGTAAAATTTATGGATATTTTTGAGGGATAAAAATGGCCTGTCAACTAAAGGGATAAATGGCCTGTCAACTAAATATTGATAGTTCTCTAGGAGAATCATCAGGACAATGGCTGCCCAGTGAAGGCTTGTGAGTTAACTAGCATTTATGCTTTTCAAGAACCTATTTGGTATGTCTTAAATCACCACAGGCCTCTTAAAAATTCTGCCCTATTTTCCTTAACACCAAAAAGGTACTACCAATACAATTTAAGAGCTGTAGGTAAACCATGATTATACATGTTGTACATAGAATGAGAGTCATTTCACTAGACTCAGGCCTAATGTTTATATTAAACAAGGTGAAGGAAAATTAATCATACTTCTGTCCATTGTGTATGCACAATTCAGTTAAATGATGAGAATCTACAATCATTTTAATGACTAAAAGAAAAGGAATAGCTGAAAGAACTTGTAATTTTAGAGTTGCGAAGCACACATTGATTAGAGGTATTACATTACATTAGTAATACATGTGTAGCTCTATTACAGTGTATCATCTGCCATTCTTGCATTTTTAAGCTAATTCATCAAGCAGCAGCTAAATAAAGATGATAAAGATCTGCTGCACTAGAAAACTCATTAAATCTTTTTCTGGTAGTGTACAGTGGAATTTATTAGCAAGAAGCCCAAGACCAATTTGGATACAGGAAATGTATAGGAAGACAATATGTGCAATACATTGTTTCTTATATTAGAAACAGTCAAGTCCTTTTAAATTTAGCTTCACATATTAAGAAGCAAACTGTTTAAATTCACAAACTAATCTTGCCTTTTCCCTTTGCCTCTGCCCTCCCCCTGTGTGTGTGTGTGTGTGTGTGTGAGAGAGAGAGAGAGAGAGATGCATGCACACCGTCATTATAATAGGTCTGTAACAAAACATTTTGCCACCTGAGATGAAACCCCCAAAATACAAGACCAGTCAAGGGTTTTTTGACATCTGAAACAGAAACTCCCATAAGATCCTTCTATCCTGGTAATAAAAACACCAATAATAAATTAAATAACAAGTAATTTGTTGCCCTTTCAGGGTTGTTGCTAATACTCCCTGGATCTATTGACAGAGTTCAGAGGGTCAATGGAAAGGGTTTTTTTTCTCCTCTTAGCTCATGGTGCAGTCATATGGGTTACACCCTGGATAATCCTAAGCCCCTGAACTCAGGGACTTTGAACATCCTATTCAAGGTGGGAAGAATGGTAGAGGCAATCTTTGCCTTCCCGTCCTCCCACACTGCATTTTTCCTAAATTAACTGTTTTCCCTCTTGTGATAGCATTTCAGTGAAGAATGGAAGATGGCTGGCAAAAGCTCAGAATAGGTCAGTTGCCTCCCCTTCCCATCCACCAAAATGCCTTCTTTTTCTGCTAACGTTTTGTGGTCCTATGTGACCATAAGACACAGCCACATAATACTTTCTGTGCCAGCCGTGCAGGGGAGTGGCTTGGAGCTCTGATTAGCAGAGTTTGTTGTCCTCCCTATCACTGCCTAGAGGTCATAGCATTGTTCCCTTGCTTGCCATATAGGTGGAAGGGGATTTCAACTGGGGAAGGAAGGGTTAACATTCCTATCCACATGATCCCCTCACCCAAACAAAATCCGTTGCAAGGCAATTAAGGATTAAAAATCTTCCCATTGGTTTGTCTCTATCTGTTTCATGATACAATCTAATTACAGGGTTTATTTCCTCTGAGATTGCTCAGAAGAGAATTTAAATGGCTGGCCTTAAGTAAATTTCTAAATTTGGAGATATAGAGGTTAACTAGCATATAGAATTATGGTATTGTAGAGTTGGAAGGGGCCAGAGGGCCATTAGGTCCAATCCCCTGCCCATTGCAGGACTCCTAGTTAAACCATCCCTCTCAGATGGCTGTCCAATTGCATCTTGAATGCTTCTAGGGTGGGAGAGCCCACAACTTCCCTTGGTAATTGGTACCACTGTCCTATTGCTCTAGCAGTCAGGAAGTACAAAATAGTGCTGTAAAAATGGAAAAATAAAAGCTACACAAGATTTAACATTCTATATTTGATATATGCTGGGAAAGAGGTACAGAATACTGAAAAGTATGAAACATTATGAAATAGATCTGCATTGTATACATTTACTGACATCATGCCTTTATTATGTCAAGCGTTTTCTTTATGAAATTTCTTGTCCCACATAAACTCCTAAATATATGTAATAATGTATAATAATAAATCATGGTTTATTTATTATATGACACATTGATGATTTCTGATGGCAGGAACTTGGAGAGCCTTTAAAGGCACATTCCTGTGCATGTTTCAATAGAAAAATGCCTTACATTTTACAGCACATACCATCAAACATGAAAATTCTCTAGTTCATTGTTAAATTGTTAAAACTCCTTGAAAAACATGCAGATTGAAAAAAGTGGCAGAAGTATTTAATTAAACAGATCCAATGAATCATTCTCAACATAATCCCACTCCTAGATGTTCCTCTCTTTTGTTTAATTCCTAATAAAATGCATTCTTTTTTCATACTCCCTACAATATTCCATCAACATTACAGTTTTGTGTAAACAAAGATAGTACTATTCAAATATTTATCAATTATATCATATTTAAAACAGAGATGAAAATATTGACATGGTCCTAGGTCACAAGCTTCTTATTGAGTAACTGGATTTCTTTGCATAATAAATTGGGTTATCATCTGTCAGAAATGGCATGTTTGTTCATTTTAGTCATCCTGACTCAGTGCAAGGGGATGAAATGAGACAAAGATAAATGATAGTTCAAAAGCCCTTGCTGCTTCATGGATCAATATTTTTGATTTGAATAATCTGCCGTGGGGATACTCCCCAAGTTCCATTCACATAGTATTCTGAAATATCATTGTATGGCTACTAGTGAAGTATTGAATTAAAAACATGGAAACAATCAAACAAAGAGAGTTTTATTTGATGTGCTTTCAAAAGTAATTATAACAAGAAAGCAAGATGAGGAAACAATTATTCTTGATGGGTTGCCAAAAGTTGAAGCTAAACATTAAACTGAAGTTATTTCTTTCTCTAGGCTCGTTGGGATGGTTTGACAGGGCGAATTACTTTCAACAAAACAGATGGCTTAAGAAAGGATTTTGATTTGGACATTATTAGCCTCAAGGAGGAAGGAACAGAAAAGGTAACCAGTTTGGTAACCCTGTGTTCGTGCTGTCAGCCAGCTGGTACAGTCAGCAATTGTCTCTCTGTCTGTCTGTCTGTCTGTCTGTCTGTCTGTCTGTCTACTTATCAATCAAGCAGGTCATGAAAGGCACAGTGAAGTAATATTGAACACCATATTGCATGCTGTGCAAATCCCATGAAAAGAATGTGAGGTATTAAAGACCATTCCTGTTCTTATTTGGTGCAACAAAATCTCCTGGTGGTTTTCAGCAATTGGCAACATTATCTTGCGAGTTTACCCATTTCTCCTTGCTTATAATGTTACAGGGTTTCATTCATCTTTACCTCTTAGAATGCACTATAACCTCTACTGTAATTACATCCCAGATAGAATACCCCCAGTCATATGCATGTGCAAGCACAATGAGGGACTCCATGCTCAGAAGAGTGCTGTCCAACAAATGCCCAGTCTCATCCAGCAGATTACAATGCATGTAATCACCGAAACCATGCTGCATATGTACTGAGCAATTGTCTTGACTCTCTTCCCTACCTCCCCACTCAACAGCCAATTGGCATAATTCCATCTTAGTTTACAGGGCAATGTGCATGCTATGTCTGAGAATGTGCTTGCGTACTGCAGGATGGAAGTGACTGTTTCCACAAGAATAACTTCATTCAGTGCTCCTTGAATCCAGGCTACTGTTCTCATTTCACACTGGAAATATTTTTTTCAATATACAAAATACCACTTATATCATTACTCTGGAACCCTCACCTGCTTATGTTCATGCTGTAATCTTATTGAAATAAATAAATGGGTTAAATAAAAAATGTGCACATGCTCTTGAACCCTGAGACAAGCATGGTAGTCAGCCTCTATATTGGGAGCACACGACATCATTAGTTCTGTCCAGCCTTGTTTTTAAATTCAGTTACTGAATAATAAATGCTCTGTGGCACTTACGTTATGCATTTTTGCAGAGTGAAAATGCAGTACTTCTGTTTGACTCAACACCCAGAATTTTAGCTATAATGATTTGGGTCGTTTTTCAGCATGAGCCAAGCAATGGCTATTTTCCCTCTCTAGCAATCTGTTATAATAACAGCCGTTCCACATGTAGAAGTTTGCAGGAGAGCCCACTGATGCAGCTTATGTGTGCAAATGCTATACCGATATGCCTGCTGTAGATTCTGTGGATTCCTCTAGAGGTCTGCAAAGCAGACCATTCTGCAGATAGGGCAAGAGTTCACAGTGCTTGGGGTTGTGAACCAGATATTGTTCACAAAGTCAACCCATATTGACTTTCCAAGAAGGAGTGTGATGTCTTTCCAAGAAGTGAGTGATAGATCCTGCCCTTGAGGAAAGCCCCAGTTCCTGGCAACCTTGGGTTTCCAACCTCAGCTAGACACAATTTGTAGACTCTGAAGTAGGGAAAGCTACTATACTGTTCTAAATTTGCATGTGGAAGTTAGCATAACTCTGAGACGCCACCCACTTCAGATATCAGCACTTTAGATGGCAAAAACAGATGCAAGTTTGTCCTTTCCTGACCACAGATGCCAATGACTATGCACATTTGTCCTGTGAGCCTGGTCTTCATAGATGGGTTTGCTCAAATATGAATACATGTTAGCTTGTGGGTGTCCTTGCCATTGGGTTGCTTTATACTAATAAATAGGACAACACTTTTTAACATTTTTCACCCACGTTTGCATAACTGCTTTGCAGAGCTTGGGTACTTGGAGGACTGTGGGAAGTCCTTCCCCAGGGAAGCTCAGTGTGGCTGACATCAGGCACTAGCATAAACTTGTCCTCCCTACCCACCCTAGTAAAGACACAGAGCCCTTGGCATGTACTGATTGGTACACAAGCAAGTTTCTCTGGAGTTTGAAACACTCAGCTGTTCAGAGGAGAAAGGCTGGATTGGGATATGGGAGACACACACAAATTTCTCACAAAGATGATTTCTTAGGCTTTCCTGGTATGCTCACAGCATGCCTGCCTGTGTATGCACAGTGAGGTGGCAGGGGTGAAAAGGGCACTCTTTTAAACCCTTGGGGAATACCTTCACCTGCAGCCACAACTCTTGCATGCAGAAATATGCCATATGTGTTCTGTTCATGTTGTTTTCAGTAGGCTTTTGAATTAGACATCATGCACAAGCAAAAGGGTCAGGCACAGTCATATTTTATCAGGACAAGATTAAGAATCCTATAAACAATATTGCTAAGATCTAGGCCCTCTGTATTGTACATAAAATGAAGCATAAGTAGTCTGCCTTGCTTCAATAAAATACTAGCTGGGGAGGGATGGGAATTCCAATAGAAGAGCAACAGGAAATATTCCTGTCAAAACTTAGCTTTGATTTATAATACAACCATCCAAACTAGCGGAAAAATGGTGACTCCAGTCAAGTCATTCTGTTCATGCACTGGCCAGATGAGGATTTGCAAACCTCTTGTTGTACTGTGGAACTGGCTTGGTTGTGTCTTCAGAAAGAAAAGAAATGTGCTGAAACCCAGTGCAGGAATCCCTATTGTTATTCACAAGCAAAATAAGTACTAGATGATTTTCTGAAAGAAGGGGCCTCCAGAAAGGGGCCTGCAGTGACAAGGGATTAAAAGATACTGAAGTCATTCCAACATAAGGACATTTCTAATTTAAGGAGAGAAAAGGTCAGTACTATCAGTTATTAAGCACAATTATGTCTCGGTTCTGCAATAACCAGCATGGTGAATCTTTAGTTTAGTATAATATTTGCTACTCAAGTACTTAAATGAAAATGCTAAGATTATACAGTGCAGAATAATTTGCTTTTTATTTTTAATTAAGAACTGTTTTGTGTTCTTTTCTGTTCTTTTCTAAATTAAGGCTGCTGGTGAAGTTTCTAATCATTTATATAAAGTATGGAAGAAGGTTTGTATAGAGACAGATGATGTAAGAAAATGTTCTGTTGAATCCCTAAAATGCTTCCTTGGGGTTTTAACAAATGATCTCAAATTGCAGTTTAGAGACAATAAAAGCCTATATTAGAATGTGCTTTGCTGTGTAGAAGAGATTTTTGATGAACCCCTGCATTTTTCTGTCCCTGTGGGTACAATTCTAGTTACTGAGCTCACAGGGAGTTCTGCTACTGACCAAAATGAGTTGTGGGTCAGTGCTATATGAACCAGATTGTAGTTTAGAATGTGATCCTACTATCAACTATAAGCTCAAATCCTAGTGGCATTTATGCAAGAATAACCACACTACAAGATTACAGCCATGCTGTTTTGCAATGGCATTGCAACCTCTATATTCAATAATAATGGAACCATTATGTTTTCAAAAAGAATTTTTTTTTTGTTAGGGCTCTTCTTTCCCTGTATTGACACTAGTAGTTAGTGTCAGCTTTAATGTGCTAGAAAATGGGTGATCACTCTGGTATGTACCCTGTCACAAGCTATAATTTCCAAACATGTTGGTATGAAGCACTAAGCACCTGTAAACTGTATGAAACCAAATGGCGCACCATCTGGGCTGGGCTTTATACACTGACCTTTGCCTAATCCAGAGACAGTGGTCATCCTTTTCCATCTTTCCCTGGGCTTAGATAGTGCACCTGCACATGATACAGAAGTGTATTCCATTCATTTTTGAGGAAATTTGTTTCCTGTGTAAAAGCTACAAATGGCACCAACTGCCCATTTAAGGAGCTTCTATGCCTCTCTAATGAAAAGGAAATAGTGTGTCCCTAGTAAAATTCAGCACACAAGGAGTATTTGTTTATTTGTTATATTTATGTCCCAGCTGTTTTTCTTGCAAGGAGGTTTACATAATCCTCCTCTTCTCCATTTTATCCTCACAACAACCCTGTAAGGTAGGTTAGACAGAGTAAGGGATTAGCTGAAAGTCACCCAGTGAGCTTCATAGATAGGTGAGCTTCATGGGTACATCTGATCTCCCAAGACTCCAGCCACTATGCCACACTTTCATAAAACAGGAAGTTTCTTCTGAGCTTTTGATAATAGCCCCTTTGATTGAGCTCACAAACTGGTATCATACTTTTCATGAAAAAATACTCAGGAAGGGTTGTTCTACTTGTATATTTTTTTCTTCTAGTACAATATAATTAGTGTAATGTTTCCTAGCAGTTTCTTTGTAATCTAATCAAATGCCTCACTATGAAACTATTTAAAAATTCAGCAAACTTGTCACAAGGAACAAAAACTTCAATTTTTTTTTCATTGCATACCACCACCAGAGAAGTCAACAGAACGAAGCTATCCACTGTTTTCCTTTTTTGGCAATTTAAGTTGTGATAAATTGGTATAAAACAAATCCGGATGGATTCATAAAAATCCACTGAGAATTAGTTGTCATATTGTATGTGTTAAACTTGTCACTAAACTGCAATGCATCTGTTTGATTCACCCTAGTGCTGTGGTATCTGAGTGTCTTCTTCAGTGCCCTTCTTACCTTTCCTATCCCTGTAAGGTTGACCTACACTGTCATTCTTCTAATACATTCTACTCTATATATTTTGTGACTGTGTTTTTCTTTTTTGATGAATGTTTCACACTTTCCCATTGCCAACAGTTTCAAGCCCAACTTCAGTACAATTACACTGCAATCTTATACCTGTCTGCTCAGATGTAAAACCCACTGAGTTAAATGGGGCTTACTCCTAGACATCTATATACATAAGCTTGCACTTTCCGTCCTTGGCATCTTCAGTCCCAGCATCTCAGGTGGCAAAGGTGAGAAGCCTTCTGCCTGAAATGTGAGAATTGCTGCCTGGAAGAGATCAAGGTGGACCACTGGTCTGGTCCAGTACAGAGCAACTTCCTTCCGAGATAACTTTCCTGCACGGAGCAGACTTGGGGAGTACGTGGCACCCCAGATACTTTTGGACTGCTACCTCCATCACCTCTGACCATGGGCCATGCTGGCTGGGGCTAATACTCTACTTCCATGGCATACTGTATACCTCACAGGAAAAGAGTGTGATAACATTAATAAGATGCCTTTTCCTCCAGACAACACAATGCTAATAAAAGCACATTGATTTCCCTCTGAAAAGAATAGCTGAAGGCTCACACTAAGAAACTAAAAGCATAGCAATGTTATTCCAAAAGCATGCAGGGGTAAGAAAGGAATAGTTTGCTCAGTGATAAGACTGGCAGTCAGACTCATAACATGTTCAAGAAGTGCTAGTTATTATTTTTGAGCCCTATGATCTCCAGGGTAAATATAGCTTAATGAACACCAAAACAAGAATGTGATCTGACAAACTGAGGACACAAGAAACAAGATAATTAGGTAAGAAAACTAGAAGAATGATCTGCTGTTTTTCACCCAGTGAAAGCTTCAGTCGTTCTTCTTTCATCCGCACTATGACAGTTGCCTATAACAACTTGCACACTTGACACAGTCAGCACTCATCAAGATCCACACTAGTATGAAGCACTTTCCTATAAGTTCTCTCACCCCAAACGTGCCACTTTTTACTGAGGCAGTTTGTTCATACAGCTGAATGCCAATGAGCAATGCACATGCATTAGCTGAACCCGTCAAAGGTGCAGGTGGACATTTGCCTCCTTGGAGTTAGAAATGTTGAAGGATTTCTCCAAGGGCAGTACTGACTGCTGAGTGAGATTGTTAGCTTGATGGCTTTGGATGTTAAGAATTCTCCCCCTCACAGTGAAAACTAGTGTCTCGTGGGAAGAGCATAAAGGAATCCTGGCAGATCATCCATGGAGCTAGAACAGACTTGTTTTCCTGCAGCTTGAAGGAACCTGATGGGACACTTGTGGACATGTTACAGTTGTATGAAGCATTAATGCATTTATATTTCTTTCTGTTAATAATTGAGTTGCTGCAAAAAAGTTGTTTCTTTGGGTTGGATCTGAAAAAAATTGATTTCTAAAACTCTGAAATTAGTTATACGACAAAATGTGGTTTTACTGGTGAGCCCATTAAAATAGTAGAAATGCTAATTGTGTCCTACTGCAGATACTGCATCAAAACTGCAGATTCAGATTGCAATCTTCTGTTTTGCAATCTTCCAAAAGGCTTAGAACCACCTTTCCAACCTGGTGCTGTCCAAATGTTTTGGGCTATGGCTGTCTGGTAAATGCTGGAGGCCACCAGACTGGGGAAGAGCACTTGCCTTATTACATAATAGATAATCAAGGGATGCAGATGTGTAATTGTCATGCACTGATATAAACACTGTCAAGCTGGTATTCACTTAGATTAATTTTGCTCAAACACACTCTCTCTCTCATTCTCTGTATGCATATATATAGGGATGGGTGTGTGTGTAATTTTAGCATTAGTCCTGGAAGGCAGCTGTTCATTACCTTGCCAAAATGTATCTTGCATAGGCAACCACTTGCTTTGGCTCTCAGTTTGTGGCATTATGAACTCCGGCACATCTTTGAACTCGATGGCCAAGTCTTTTCTGTCCTCATATCCTTTGAAGCATGGCAGTAGTTCTTCTTTCTCAAGAAAGAGAAAGTTGCTGGAATTTATTTGCTAATCGTTCTAAAAACAGCTTTGACAACAGGTAGCTGGCTTTCACCAATTACTCTATCAAATGGGTGGTACAGAGATCAAACTCCCATTTAACCTGTTTTGTGTGTGTGAATCAGGCCTTTGAATCTTTCCATTCATTAGACATGCATTAATTGCACAAATGCAATAAAATTACACACACACACACACACACACACACACACAGTGAAGTTTCAAATTCTACAGTGTAGTTGGAAATTCCACTAAAATAAAAAATCTGCTTGTTGAATACACGGGGCCAAAATCACTTCAAACCCTAGTATTACTCAATGCCTTACAGTTCATAAAGGAGGCCAAGGCTAAATTCTGTTTTCTCGTCTGCTTAGCTATCTTAGTGATCACTGATCACTTGGTCATTTGATTGGTTATGTTACTTCCAGTTACAGAGTAACTAAAATAAATTGGTGCCTTCAGTAAATTTAGAGGCAATGAGAAGGGCTAGTCTGTTTCAACACCTCTCTACAACGATAATCTCTTGCATTAGAAAGGAAAGGACTTTGCACATGTTTCCACTTAACATTTCTAAAAAATGATAATTTTAAAAACCACTTAGAGCATAAAAGCCAGGTGTTCCTAAATGCTAATACATCACAAATATAGAAGTATATACACTGCTAACATAACCCTAACATAACTCTCTTGAAACTAACCCATCTCAGCCTGCTTTTGAATGACTGCTGTGTTTCCTGTGACTGTTGATAACCCATCATTTCTCACACACCCCTTGCTTTTGAATGCATCTGGTCCTCTCCTTTAATATCTCATACATCTGGTGTTTTAGTTTGTTGCTGTGCAGTGCAATCCTGTTTCTACCTAGCCTTAATTTCCTGGAGAGAATAGTAATACACATTCATTTATATGAAATGTAATTTTCTTAGCAAAAATAATGAAGTTTGGCAGCCATTTATCTAATTTGTTCTATATAGATTGGGGTTTGGAATTCAAACAGTGGCCTTAACATGACTGACAGCAATAAAGACAGATCTACCAATATCACTGATTCACTGGCGAACAGAACATTAATAGTCACTACAATTTTGGTAAGTTTTGGTGTATGTTGTTGCTATTCTTCATGGGTTATCATTCCTTTACTTCTGTTGACTTTCTACCCACTACACTTTTTTCGTTACCACAAAGGCACCGTTTGTGTGCCTCAGTGGCACAAATTCATCCAGCCAGCAAAAAAGTGGTGCTAGACCTACAGCATATAGACCAGTTCTGCAGAATCCATACAAGCCAAGTCAGCAGCAGCCTTGTATGCACGCACAAAAACCCAGAGAGGCAATCAGCTAACCTAAGCAAACTAGTTGTATGCTTTCATACACACTCCTTTTTCAGACCATTTCTTCCTCTCTATAATCCTAGCATGATCATATTTCCAAATTGCCAGCCTTCTTTGTTTGAACTTACATGAAACTAAAAACAAAAGAATTGGCTGTGGTTAAAAATGTCCAGCTTCCTGTTTGAAAGCACTGTTTGTGAGAACTGTCTTGACAATGCTGGGGAAAAAACCCTGGGCAACCTGAACCTGCCTTCCCTTGCTTTTTGTGTGCACCCCACCTAGTTTTAAAGCACGGCATGTGCAATCCTGCAGGTGCTAGAAGCTGTGAGAATGCTCACTAGGACTGGCAGATGTGATCATATAATGCCAGTCCTATATCACTTCCATTTGTTACCAATTGAAGTCCAGGCCTAATTTAAGGTACTAACTTTGACATATAAAGCCCTTAAACATTTTGTTTAGTGCCTTCAGTTTAGTCTAAAGGAATGTATCCTTCTATATACACCTGCAAAACTTTAAGATCTTCCACTGAGGTTCTTCTTTGGGAACCATCCTCGAAGGAGGTTAGAAGAGTGTCTACCTGGAGAAGGGCCTTTGATGTGGCAGTGCCCTGGCATTGGTGTTTGCTTCTCAGAGAGGTGCACCTAGAACTGACACTTTATTCTTTTTGGTACCAGGCCAAAACCTTTTTTATTTTCCCAGCACTTTAAGGGTTGACAGGGTAAAAATGTTTTAAATAAATAAATGGCCACAGGATAGGTCATATTGTCACCTCTGAACTTGGAAATGCACTAAGAGGCCAGAGATGGAAGTGCCTTCCTTCTGCCATCACAACCACTATGATTATTTCTGCACTGGCTGTGGCTCCAGAGTTTTGAGGCCAGGGCTATAAGGAATACTGGTAATGTCTCAGCCTGTCCTCCTTGTGAGCTGGGGCAAAATCATACAGGACTAAAAGTGGTGATCCGTTTCTTTTGCAGGACATGGGAAGCACAGAAGCTACCCTCCCATGCTTGATTGCATGTCCATACTCCTCTAGGTGCAGAAGGCTACGGGCAGCCACATTGCTTGGCTGCCTGCAGGAACTTCTATTCATTTAGGATTATTATTAAATGCACATTCTTCTCTTCTTTGCTTTTAAAAATGTAATAGAATCTAATCTATTTTTCAGATGTTAAGAAAACATCAGCTCATTCATGGCTGGCTGATGAATGCTGAGGATTGTAGAACTTTTTGCTGTTTGTGTCCTTTGTTATGCTTTCATTCCATTAATATCAAAGAAATGAATTATGATGTTCCAAGGGAATTAAAGTTTAACCCATGCTGATCTGAATCCAGTAACTACATCATTTAGTACATCCTAAAACTTTCAGTAGTGCCTTTTTCACTTGCATTTGGATTAGTGGGCAGCACACCAATTTATAAGTGAATGAATGAATGAATGAAGTTGTGTGTGACCAGACACAGTGGTGAGTTTCTTCAAACTGGTCTTCTTTGTGAAATACTCAAATTTAACTCTGTTATGACATCACTAAGTAAACAGTTAATTCAAACAATGCTTTTGAATGAGCTGTAGCTTCTCTCTCAATTGGCTTCATTAGCCTTTGTAACACAGTCACATATCCAATCTTGATTAGCTAGGTGAAAACACTGTTAATAGGATGAAAACCAACTAAAAGAAATTGTAACTGAGGCAACAGCTGCAAGTGCTGTGAATATTAGTATCCCAGTGCTTATGCTGTATTTTGCAAATTTTTCACTTATAACTATTACATTTCTTGGAATGCGTAATATTCTTTTTTTTTCTTAAGTGTAAAGTTGTTCTGAGATCTGGCTGAAGAATAACTAATAAATATTAGAAATAAACATTTCTTTAAAATCAAATATCTATTAATAATGTATGTTTGATATATAATAGTTACTTATTTAAAAGTTACTTATATTGATATTTTGAGGGTCTTTTAGTAAACATTTCAGCCCCCATACTTTTTCTGCAATAAAAATATTCACTGAAAAGCTTTCAGTTCAGCTTGAGTGTTTTGCTACTTCAGCGTTCTCTGTCTGGCATTTATTATTCTAAATAAGCAACCTAATGCCAATAGGAGGTTTTAGAGGTTACACTCTACAGACTTTAATGCAGAAAATTGATTCAAACAAAACATCAGTGTTGGACTTCTGAGTACCAGTACAATTTTGGCAAATGATTACACTTCCTGTATCTTATTAAGCTGAAATAGTTTCAGAAGTACCCAATTTGTTACAAATGTCTTATGTCCTTTCCTACAGGAAGACCCCTATGTGATGTACAAGAAATCTGATAAGCCCCTTTACGGCAATGATAGATTTGAAGGGTACTGCCTGGATTTGTTGAAGGAACTATCAAATATCTTAGGCTTCATCTATGAAGTGAAACTAGTGTCTGATGGTAAATATGGAGCCCAGAATGACAAAGGAGAATGGAATGGAATGGTCAAAGAACTCATAGATCATGTAAGTTTCACATTATTATTCTGTTCAGTCTACAAAAGCTACATATAAGTGCATAGACTACTGTGCTATTTTTTAAAATATGCTGACAGTGCAAACCCAAAGCTTGCACAACATCAGTAGTGTTTGCTAGTGCAATGGATTTTCTGGGGAACTTGTGCTAGTAAGCTATTGACATGGTACACACATTTGTTGATTAGACACTGGTAGTAAGACACCAGTGGATCCTTCCTAGACAGTTTAATGGGGCTTACTTCAATAGTTGTGTGGGCACTTCTCTTGCTGGAGTGATGGAATGAACTGTAACAAAAAGAGCAATATGAGTAATCTATGCAGCTTGCAGTGTATGCTTGCATTTCCCTCTTCAAAGTCATCCCTGAGGAAGATTCTGTCTTGAGGTCCTTCAGATCTCCTTCGGATCTCAGCTTGCAACATTTCCTATTATGCCTATTATGGGATCATGCCTCATAGCAGGAAAATGTCACAGTCTAATGCCTCTTGAAGGCATCACTGCACAACACATTCATAGTGAATAAAATGAAATGAGCACAACTTGTTTGGAGTTGAGTTTCCTTCCTAATGGAAGGAATGAGGGACTCTTAATGAAAACACAATTTTCATTCGTATCTATAGTTATAAGCAAATTCAGTTTTATTTGTGTCAGTATGCTTGAAAGTTAAGGGAAGAAATAAAAATGTTTGTTTTAATGGAAATTAAAATATTATTTTCCACTTTGTGTTCCCAGAAAGCTGACCTGGCAGTTGCTCCACTCACTATTACCTATGTAAGAGAGAAAGTAATTGACTTTTCCAAGCCCTTCATGACACTGGGAATCAGTATTTTGTACCGGAAGCCAAATGGCACAAATCCTGGTGTTTTTTCCTTTCTAAATCCTCTTTCTCCTGATATTTGGATGTATGTCCTCCTCGCCTGCCTTGGAGTCAGTTGTGTCCTCTTTGTCATTGCAAGGTAAGTTTAAAGGTCCTGCCTGACAGCAAACTATGGCATTTGCTACATGCTGCATGTACACTAGCCACAGAAGTTATTCTTATTGCAGAATGTATTTGTTTGTTTGTTTATTTACTTGTCTTAAAAATATTCTAAACCTTCCTTCATCCAAATGGATTCCAGCATAGCCTACAAGAGGTAAACATTTGTAACAGCAAATAGAATGCTACAAACACAGTGTTCCTACAGGCAGTAAAACCAAGAGGTAAGAAAGTATAAAAGAAACAAAGGAAATGGAGGCAGTTAAAATGCAAATATAAATGTCTTACCCAGGTACTAGAAGGACTGCTGTATCAGTGCTAGTTACTGGTCATTAGGAAGGGAATTCTAAATTTGGGACACCCCCACAGAAAAGTCTCTCTGTGTACACAACATGCTGCTGACCGTTCTCTGAGAAAGGCCTCATCTGAAGATACCAATGCAGAGTTAGGTCAGTACAGGAGGCTGTGTTCCTTCAGGTCTATGGGTCTAAAACCATTTCAGGCTTTAAACCTAGCATCAAAGCACCATGAATTGGGTTTGGAATTGACTAGGCAGCCAGAATAATTATTTCAGCACTCATGTAATATGGAGTGAATTTTCTAAACCAATCAACATTCAAGAACATAAATTCTATACTAACTGCTACTTCTGAATCATTTTCAAGGACAGTTAGTGCTGAATTTGGAAAATATATATCTCATTACTAATCTAACTGTTAGCATATTAACAATACTATACATGCTTTATAACAAACCTTTAAATGTCTTCTACATGGCATGACTGCCTAAAAATAGCCCTACAGTTAATTAGTACAAAATAATTTGAGAGGAAAATGGTGCAAAATTGATAAATTTTATATCTGAAAACTTAATAAAATGTTAAAGAATATCTGATGGTATTTATTCATTTATTACAGTTATATCCTGCTTTTTTCTGTAAGGAATCCAAGGTGGCTTATACAATCTTCTTCTCTCCATTTTATCCTTACAACAACCCTGTGAGGAAGGTTAGGCTAAGAATCAGTGACTGGCTGAATGAGCTTCATGGCAAGTCGGGATTAGACCCTGAAACTCTTGAGCCCCAGACCAACACTCTAAGCATGTCAAGCTTGCTTCTCTGGTCAAGGTTATTTTTTTCCTTTTTCTGGATACCTTTTTGAACTATACACCCTTCCACTATATACCAAAATACTAAATGTCTACCTCTAATTCAAGTATCTCTTGACTGCAGTAATACTTGGGGTCACACGGTGCATTACAGTAATTGTATAGTGCGTAGCCATGGATACCATTCTTCACTTCAGAATAAATTATGTGCTGCCCCAATTTGGATTAAGACCAAGATGCAACAAGAGGAGTGGAATAAACTCCCCACTGCTACACTTTACACAGCTAGCATAGCATGTAGTTTGACCTTCACATGAGTTGGCTGGTTCACATGTCACCACAAATAACCCTGTGTGGTTATCACAATTTGTGGTTTTTTTACCTTGATGAGCCTGACAGATGATCAGGCTGATGGCAATCTCCTCCTTCCCACCATCTGCTTCACTCCCAGTCCTCCAGGCAGTATTCTAATCACTGCAGCGAAGTACAAGGCAGTCACACTCATGAGCCAAGCTTGCTACGGGGGTCACTCAGTCTCTCCTGTGAAAACGGGACTCATGCCCTGAAGTGCAGCAAAGGGACAAGGGAGTTGACTGGATCCTCTTCCCTCCTGGTCCAGAGGAGACTGCCGACACAGGAAGGGGGTTTGCAATGGGGTGCTGGGGGGGGGGGGGTAGGGTCTGATCTGTGTTCATACACAAAGAGGAGGGAATTCAGCTGGATGGGTACCCAGCTGCAGTGAGGGATTTGTGAGGAATCTGTTTTGGAGGTGGGGATCTGTCAGATTCCTTTGGCTTGGCTACCTACCCAGACTCCAGCCTACTCTCTCATGGCCATGCATCTGACATCCTGATGGGCAAGCGGCATCCCTCTTCTGCACATGTGACTCATGGCCTTTGTGCAGCATGTGCTGCAGAAAGAATTGTGTAACCAGAATTCTGTGAGTGCCTCTGGACTTCCTCTAGGTTCAGCTTGCTTCCTAAGCAAGGGATGGGCATGAGGAGAAGTTCAGCGAACAAGAGGGATGGATTCCAGGGAGGATTGTCACAACCCAACCCTCGTTGTAGTCGCTTCTCTGACAAGCAGGAATAAGAATGGGGGTGTGACGATGCCGTTGAGAACTCGAGGGCTTAATACCACTTCCTTCCCTGATCTGGCCAGGACCTGCAAGATGTGCAGTGTGCTTGTGGAAGGGCTGGCAACTAGGCATACCTCGAGTGGTTCAGTGAATTACTTCAGACCATTGAGTTACATTATACTACTGTGAATAAATCTTTGAGTTCCACCAGAGTCATTTTCAAAGCACAGGCGCTATTAAACTATTTGTTTTCTTTTTCTTTTTAGGCAGGCTAAACTACATGCTTTTGCTTCATGCACCAAAATTAAAGAATAGTTATAATAAACTATCTGACCACTTTATTCCACTTAGTTGTATGTGTCAGAAAAAGGCAGACAGTTAAATAATGTCTTGGTTTCCAAGCAATCCTCCAACAAACCTGTCACAACTGCTATTTACAGTAATAAACTCTCACAAACTATGTTCACTGTACTGTGAACAATAGATTCAGCTGTGCATGGATCATGATCTCATACATGACTAATAGCAACCTGACCACAACTGACCGATTATTATTTTCCCCTGTGTAATGAGCCAAGACTGAAACCAACCCTATTCTTTCTCTACCAGGAAGGTGGATAAAAATTAGTAACTTGAAACTTCCCCTCTGCCAGGGATTGATTCTGCAATGTCAGAACAGAACACATCAAGTTTTGAACGTTGCAAAATATTCCTCAATCAAAGTGTCCAGAGAGCATGTCAGGAGGTCTCAGAGTATACTTAGAGTTCTTTATTGCTAAATATACAAGCTTTTCTTTCCAAAGCGGATCTTGATTTCTAATGCCCTTAGAAATGGCATTAATTCTAATGCAGCTACTTAGCAGGTTTACTCATGTCCAAAATTTATATGCCCCTAAGGGCCTTTTGTAATTGTAGCAGCAGTTTCTCTATGCCTTTTGTGTATGCTGCTATTGAAAAGCCTCTTGATTCCCACTGTCCATGAAACCAGACCCAACTTTTTCTGGAATGCCACTGTAGAGAGAAATGGAGTTCTGCATTTTTAGGACCTATGATTGTAACAGAAAGATGTTTATATATTATGGATATATGTTGTTCAGATTATTACATTACTCACATACTTAAAATATATAAAACGTGTGGAATCATACAAATTCTTTTTCAACTTCCAGAGATGTGATTTCTTTTGCTATATCTTTATCAAAGAGCTTGATTCTTTATATTCTGAATATGTAGAATATTTTCCACATGAAATAGCTAAGCTAATAAGTGAAACAAGCCCAGAATTTTTAATCATATTACACTTTTAGAAATAAAATATTCCGGAGTACGTTTGTGGATCTTCTGGAATCACTGAAATGTTTTGGTCATTGTACTTCTTGAAATTCAAGCCCATCTAAGATGCTTTGCTTTTTAATACTAAATGTGGTATTAATAGGTCCTAAAGGCACAAATCTGTTTGTAGAAGTTTCACTGTGCTTTTCTGGACAAACACAACAGAAATAGAAAATTTTGAACAGCATGCTTCCTCTGTTGGCAGAATATGGTAGTTTGCATGCTGCGCAAGAATCCTGAACTCTAAAAAAAGCCAGGCTCATGTTTTGCCACTTTCTGCAGTCTCTGCACAATTTCCTTCTGACATTTTCATAATACTTCCAAAGGAAATCATGTATACATAATTTTGTGCATGGCTGCAGCCACTGACTTCAGTGGAATTAGAGTTTAATCCAGTTTGATTTATTTCTTCCACAGCAGCTCCTGCACAATATGTTAGGCGCCTCAGGCTTATGGTGAGGTGAAAGAAGAAGGTGAATTGGATTAGGTTTAATATTTAAAGGGTGATTATATCAAATTATTATTTTTAAATGTTTATCATAACCCTATACAAATGAATTCCATGCAGCTTACAAACTGCCAATTCTACCACAGGTTGACATATTTTGAAAGGAAAGAAAAATGAGAAATGGTATTAGTAATCAGGGATGAAGAACTATGTCCATCACGCATCCACAGGAAATAATTTTGGACCATATTTATTGTGGACCTCATAATTGCCCCCCATGGCTGATGACTATTCTTTTGGGATGATGCAATCAGATAGTTGCCAAATGCATTACCTATCAACTCTCTTGTTTTTCAAACAAACTGGAACAGTAAATATGCTGATCAGTGTGCTAGTTCCCCAATGACAAACACATATATTATGGCATAAATTGAATTTGACCTGGACCCAAGTTCCCCCCAATACGATCCACCCAATGTAAACTTCCAACCCAACAGAATATCCATCAGGAACAATTCCTGTGGTTCAGCCCCTCAGAGCATTCAATAGAAAGTGCCACATGTAAGATGGATGGGAGCATGCTGCCTACTGTAAACTTTTCCTGTCCAAAATTATAGTGTTCAATACACATAGCCAGGGAATAAAGGGTCAGCTATAATGTTCAAGAGCAGCCAGGGTTTGAAGTAATTTTAATTTCTATAACTTAAACTTAGTCTTTAACAAATCTTTCTATCCAGCAATTTTAAAAGTCTAAAATCCCATTATTTCCCAGCAGGTGCTCTTACTTGTGTCATTCTTTTCCTTTATTTGCTTCCACAAGCAACAGACCTTTGTCTTTGTAACCTTCTCCTTTTTAAAACATTACCTTGCAACAAATTGGCAATGCACTGGGCACTGCTTGCTAATTCAAACACACAACATTACTGTGCTGTACCTTTTTCCCCCATCACTTATACGTTTCCTCACCCAAGGTTTAAAAGAGCCCCCCTACAAGAGAGGAAGTACAGACTTTTCTCCCTGGGGTATCTTTCAGAAAGCAAAGCCTGCACACCAGCTACATATGCAAAGGCAGAGCCAGAAGAAGCAGGACAAAGACAATCCCATGGGCCATGTGCAGCTCCTTTTTCCTTCTTGAAACGCTACACACCAGAGTTGCACCTAGGCTTCAGAAAGTGCAAATAAAGTGACATGACATGACATGACAGAAACAAAACCTTGTGGTGTGAAGTACTCCTGTTTACTGTTCCAGCCAGCCATGCTATATTCCGGACACTCCGCTGCATCCTCTCTCCCCTCTGGTTATTCTGTTCTCCATGCTAAGAGATGCTTAGGATTTGGTGGCCACTGGACATGGTCATGGTGATTCTGGGAGCAGGCAGTTGCCCTCTTAGTTGTTTATCCTACATTTGCTTTTTCCGCAGCTTCCTCTGCACCTGCAGAGAGCTCCCTCATGCTTCTCAGGGGCCTTGTTTTGGCTATGATCCTCTTGGCATTCAGCAGCTTAGTTTGCTGTTAGGCGGGGTGTAAGGAAAGTAGGGAAAAAGCAGGTCCTCCTCAGTGAAATCCCTTACTCTCTGTAATTTGGCATGTGAATTTGCCTCTACCAGAAAAACAAACTGGAGATCTATGTGCATCATGTGTTCCACAATCCCACCTACTGCACTCAAATGGCTTTTCTACAAAGGAATGAGTCGACTCTGTGACTGGGTTCAGACAACATGATAACCCACACTCAGGGGTAGGATATGGGCTGAGTATTGCTTGTTTTTGAACCATGGGTTGTAGTGTTGCCTGAACCCAGTAAAGATAAGAAACCAGGGTGAACAACCCATAGTTCATAACCCAGCAACATGCCACCAGTTCTCTTCATAGGTTCTTTGTGATTAGCAAGCCATGATTTACAAGGCTCAGTGTGGCATAGTTGGACTGGGTCTTGGGAGATCTGGGTTCTAGTCACCACATAGCCATGATCTCAGTGGCTGACTTTTGGGAGCCACAGACTCTTAGTCTAACCTACTTTACAGTGTTGTTGTAAGGATAAATTGGAGAAGAGAAGGAGAATTACATAAGCTGCCTTGGGTTCCTTGTGTGAGGGGGTGTGATGCAGGATAATTGATAATTGATTGATTATCATGCTAATCAATCCATAAATTGCTTGTTAGTGTACTTCGGTTCAAGCAACACAATAACTCACATTTCAACAACAACATATTGTTCAATGGCAAACCACTGTTGTCATGTTGTGTGAACCCTTCATGTGAAAATCTAGCAAAAATTATATTTGCAAAACTTACCAAATGCTACTCTACATGTACACTTGCATATGTGCATTGTGATTGCTTGGTAGTGTGGAGGCAGATAATAGACCTGCTTAGGAACAAATATCCCAGTTTTAATAAAGGGTTCTGAAATGGAAGGAAGGAATTTGCTCAGGAATAAATGCCACTGAGATTAATGCAGTTGGTACAAGCATAAACCATATCTCTTTTACAGGGAGGCTCAGGTTCTTTTTCAGATTCGGGTCCTTGGCTACAGCTGGATGAGCTTGCTTTCCCAGCTTTGCCCCTGCACAATGCAACCAAGGATTTTGCCCATGATGGTCTTCTCTGCCCAAGGTGCCTCCCCCAGGCCCAGTGTTGTCTGTTGCCATGTTTTAACTGTAACCAGAATAAGAGATTCAAGCATCTTTCTCTGAAAATGGTAGAGGAGACAATGCTGGGGCCTGGGGGGCTGAATGCAGTGCAGTGAATTGTGGGGGAATGAATAGCAAGGGACAGCAGTTGGTTACTCAAAGCCTCATGAGCAGCTTCAGGTCTTTCTTAGACAGCAGGCACAACCTGATTCTTAAGATAATTGGGCACGATCTTATGTATGTGCCGATAGGAAAAGGTCCTTCATGCACCCTCTAGCATGCTGCAGAGGGATACTGGAAGTTGTGGGACATTTTCCTGTCTAAACATGCTTAGCATTGTACCCTTAAACTCAATGATCTTACTGAATGAAAATTTTATGCTGTTGTATTTCTAATTGAATGGCTTATTTTTAGTGGTACTTTCAGTAAGGCATGCAAAATTTCTCTTTGTTAATCTGTGTCCTGCATCTTATGTTAATTTTTAAAAAATTACCTATTGTATGAATAATGATGATGTTATTTAACTAACAGCATCCTAAAATACAAACTGTTTCAATTAGTGCCTTCATTATTATCAGTGTTCATTGCTTCAAGCCTAGCACAGCACTCTAGTTGCAAGAGTGCATAAATTCAAAGCTTAATTATATTGTTAAAATGGCAATTAAAATGTACTGGCATGACATTGTCAATTAAAGCCATATTCATAAACATCACAATAACAGTATGCCCTACAGCTGTGAGAATCAACAACAGACAGGGTCCTATGGCAAGAGACAGTTCTAAAGTACTTCCATAAAGCATCTTATAGCTTACAGTTTGTCATGGTATATATTTTTGCAAGAATTGAAACTTTTCATTTGTAAAGGATAATTTCTAGCCTCTTCCCTACAATGCTTGCAGCACTCGTATAACCCAGAATCAGAATCCTCAAATAAAATCACATAATTTTAGGGTTCTACAAAATAATCTACAAGGAGAAAATGTTTCTGTGTATAAAGTGTTCTTCTAGATATGTAATTCAAATTTGTGAGAGGCAGGGAACCCTCACATCTGACATTTCTGGGATACATCTGTGAAGCTCCTGCTGCACATATGAACTGCTTTACAGGAGAACAGCACCTGCAGGGACCATTGGAGGTCAGTCCCCAAGTGACTAGGTTTCCATGCTCAGGGAAAAGTGGACTCTCATTCTGGTGGAATCTAAGTAACAAGTAACAATAATGGGCAGAGGTCAGCTTCTGAAAGCAGCAACAAATCAGGACAGCTAGATAGTGTAGCTTAAGGGAGAAAGTTGTTCCCAGATCATAAGGGTAGGAAGAGAGGAGAGGGGATTAGCTTGGCAGAATGTGATCACAGCAAGACATTGCTCATGCAGAAAACCCCAGCCTTGGAAATAGGCATGGGTGAACAAGCAGTTTTTTAAATTGTTGAATTTCTCCAAACATTATGAATAGGGAAAATGCACATTTCCCCAAAAAATAAAGCATGAAAGTGTGCATTTTGGGGGAATTTACTTTTTTAAAAATACATGCAATTTTCAAATGCATGTTCAGGAATTTGCAAACCTGTTTGAAAAACATATACTCCAGTCCTGTTGATATTCAGGATTGTGAATGGGACATAGTCACATGATTTGTAAAAATAAGCAAAATCCTCATACATCCTACTTAGAATGCATTGCACAGGAATAAATTAGCTGACCTACTGCTCAGTCATGCTGAAGGACTCAGACTTCAGGGCAGTTGGCACTCCTGAAAAGCTACTCAGTCAACAAGTCTGAATGCAGAGTTAGAGGTGAGGTGCCAGAGTTTAGCTGATGGGTTCCCAATTCATTCTTTCCTCCACCTGGTGCCTGCACTTCAGTAGTGATGCTATAAGGTGCTTTATGATTAATATTTCTTTTAAATAAAAGTGCCCTCTTGGTCTAGAGCAGCCTTCCCCAACCTTTAGTCTTCCAGACCAATTTGGACTACAGCACCCAGAATTCCCAGTCAATGGCCCTGCTGGATGGAAATTCTGCAAGTTGCAGTTCAAATGCCTCTCCAGACACCAACTTGGGGAGGGCTGGGTAAGAGTGAGAGTTAGTCAAGGCCAGCAATGACTGAGAAATGAAACAGACCACGTTCTTCAATTTCTAAACAAATCTTAAGACTAATTACCACTTATCCACAGCATGTATCTGGAATTTTGCTATATCTACATGTACACTATGAAGATGAGAATAGTACCTCTAAACATGAAAGAATGAGCCCCTCATTTTCAACCCATGTTCTCAGATGATTGCAGATGTGTGTTATGCCTTCATGGAAGCAAAGGAGATGTATAAAAATATAGTTACAGGAGGGATATAGGTACTGGTGGACACATGCAAACAAAGTTGCTCAGTAAGATGCAGATTGGGAACCATGTAACTACAAATATGCAGGGGATTCTTTCCATGACACAAAGGATTGTTTCCATGGGGGATTCCACTCATTTCAGTGGCAATAGGTGATCCAAATATGTATGCAGATCAGTTTCTCCCACTGAAATTCAGCCCAAAAGATGACTTGGAGCAAACAGCTCAGATGAGGTCCCTGAGCTTGGACAAAAGACTTCACTGCAACTCACAGATAAGCCTTCAAAATTATTGCAATTTAAGGGCCAGTTTTACTTAATTTTTAATCCATATTGTCTCTTTTGTGAAGCCTCCACATAAAAGCAGTCTTCCTTACCTTCACTGGATGTATGAGGCTTATTGGTCAGGTGAAGAATGAAAAGCGCAGCTCAAATTAAGGGAACGAGGCCTATGGCTGGAAATGGAGCTGTCCACATTGTAAGGCTGCTTTGACGCTTCCGCGCTCTGGCTGTACATTTATGAATATGGCTTTAATTTCCCTCCCCCTTTTTACTTTCCTCATTAATCTTTGCATTTTGTGCATTGTTCAGCAGGTTTGCTGGTGCCGTCTGTATTTTTTTATCTGATGCTTACAAACTGTTTCTGTTAACTACCACAGGTTTACACCCTATGAGTGGTATAACCCCCACCCGTGCAACCCTGACTCAGATGTGGTGGAAAACAATTTTACTTTACTTAATAGTTTCTGGTTTGGAGTTGGAGCTCTCATGCAGCAAGGTACACAGGTTACACATCACTGTCGCACACATCCCACAGTGTGCTCAAGGGCTTCTGTGCTGGTAAACTCCACCATTTGTAGCTCTAGTGTATACTGTAAAACCTGATATAGAAAGGAGATGTGCAGTGTATATTTATATATCCATGTGCTGAAAATTAACAAGTGGGTTTGGGGGAGACATGAAATAAAAGAAATCGATGTAATCCAAAACAAACCTACAGAAGGACTAAGCCCAGAGGACATTTTATTAAAATCATTATTTCCGTGTTTGTCAGACTCCGGTTGCTTTAAAAAAATCCCAAACTTAATTAATGGCTTTTCTGCAGGTCTTTAAGTTTTGCCTCTTGTAAATGTAGCCAGCCTTTGAGACCTACAACATCCTAACTGCTGCTGATTCTGGAAACTGCACAGAGATGCTCCTTTTACAGTAAAAGGGAAGGAGAGGCACTCGACGCGTGAATCAGCTTGGTGCAAATACTGGCTGTGTGTGTGTATATGGTGTGTTCATTTTGAGGCTTCCATTAATAAGTTTTTGCCTCTACATGAGGTGTGTGTTTAGAATATATGTTTAATCATTGTAAACCCCTCAAAAATAACAACACATTGAGGAAGTCACAGGAATAGCTAATTTTTTAATAAAGTCATGCAAGCATAAAACATTCCTATATCCAATCATAGGGCAATTATGTTTTACTACAATTTGGGGTTCAGTGAAAATGGATCAAAACTTTAAGCCTGACTTTGCTAATGTTAGTAGGAATTTGGCCATTGATTTAGTGGAGCTAGTCTGTTCCCTTTGCTACATCAGGCATTTCTTGGCATAGCAGGAAAACTGGACATTCAAAAACATACTGTGTATGCCAAACATGTATACTCTTGGAATGGATTCTTTCCAAGATCAACCAACAAAATAAGTTGTTTCTCCCAGTTTGTCAAGTGTAGCATAGAGGAAGGTTTTACAGTATCAGGCAGGTGTGTGTCTATAGTTGTGAGTGATGAGTGTGGGTGTGTATGAGAGAGAGTGGCCAAATACTTTGTGTTCTTAGTGGCCTGCCTTTTTGGAGTTTACCATCATCCACAGCAAACTGTGGGATGCCGTGCCTAGTAGTTACCACTACCTTGGGTACATGACAGTCAGCCCCAACCAGACTCTGCTTGTCTTTGAAGAAGCTTTAAAAATGTAAAGAACCCCCCAAAATTTGTAAGTTGAAGCCAATATTTCCATGTACAAACTTGTGGTACGTGTGGACTGTGAATGCACCATCATTAACATGTAGAGTTTGAACAAGAGATGAATGGTTGCTAACCTCTGCATCTATTGTTATGCTCTTTCTTGTTAACAGAAGCTGCTTGTTGTGCTTGATTGGAAGCCACTGGTATATTAAATTTAAAATGTGATGATCAGACTTTCTCTTTTCTACAGAGCGTGAGCAAAGTCTGGATCAGGATTGGCTGTCATGTCTGCCATAAAAAGGCACTAGAGAGTCTTCAGCAAGTATTGTCTCTGACTCTGGTTCTTGAAAATAGTGTATTTTCCTACCCCTCTTCTTTTATTCCTCAACCAAGATATAGAACCTCTTTGTTAAAAGGTTACTGAAGCATGCCAGATGGCAGATTAATTGAAAATGCTATATAGGCCATGACCCTCTACTCACAAGTCTATTTAATGACAATGAGATTGGTCTGAAGTAAGTAAGCAAGCCACGTTGCTTTAAACAGCGAGGTATTGTGAATTAAATAAGACTAGTGTAATGCTCAAGTAAGGCTGCAATCCCATACCTACTTACCTGGGAATTACCCCTTTGAATTCATGGGATTAATATTTGAGTAGGTGCACAAAGTACTGCACTGTTAGAATGCAAGCCTATGCATTTACTTGGCTGTGAGGACGTGAGTTCCAATGAGACAGACATTCTGACCTAGTGATTCTCCACCACAAGTGTTACCCCGTTCACTTCAGCAGGATGAAAGAGGCATCAGGAAAGCTATGCATGTGCAGTCTTTCCCATTCCAGGAAGGTGAATGGGGAAAGCTACACAACAGTTGCTCCATGCTTTGCTAGCACAAAGCTCTGATTAGGAGGAAAGACTGCAATTGATTTTCCTTGAAAGCTCTTTTATGAGGGTCTGCATTCCACCAAAGTTACTAGACCTGAAGGTATGTGCTTAGTTTTACTGAATTGTCAATCCTTCATGGATCTGTGAGCCAACAGCCTATTTTCACTTTTTCTTTGGTTGAGACTATTGTTAACGGTGTCCACTGATACCTTACAGGATCAGTGATTTTTGACCATAAGTAAATCTAATCTACATAAAATACACATTTTCTGTTTCACACGAGCAACTGAATTTCTTATGATGGGAAATCAAACAAATTACAATTAGACTCAAGGAATATACAAGAATAATATCAGAACTTCCCATGGTTTCATTGTGGAACAGGTATAATCTTGGAAGCTGATCTAGATTGTTCTGCCAAGTTGCAATGGTCTCTGAAATGTAGCATGCTATTACTACCATCATCTATATTCATTAAAATGTGACGTGGCATCAGCATTCATATTATTTATGTTTCTGTGCTGAGCTTTTTAGTAAATAATGTTTTAATAAACAACTGAATCAGCATTATTGTTTCCTACAGTGGCTAGGTCTGCTACAAAATTGCAAAAATCAGCATTGGAAGAATATCTATTTGTAAATCATATTGTTTGCTAACTAGAAAGCCAAGGGAAGAATTAAAATGTAGATACTAATACAAGTTTTGAAAATAACTGCTCTGAGATTAAGATGTGACTTTGGTTCACTTCTTAAACATACTTACTAGCAACTTGGTCTTATTTAATTCCATCGGTCTTGTTTCTGAGGATATATGGCTAGGATTGTTCTGTACAAGCACTATTCAGCTCTTGTTGGATAGTAAGCCTGGCTGGGGATGATCATTCATATGCAAACCAAATGCTGATTCCAGGCAGTTCAGTGGGGTCCAGCTGAGCACTGAGCATTGACTGCATATCTGCCTGACTACATACATGAAAGATTGGTTCTATGCGCAGACCTCCCATGCTGGATCAGAATTTTGGTTTGTTTTTTTAAACTAACTGTGCTGCTCAAATAAGAATACAAAATCCAACAGTGCCCATCTGGCAATTAGATGGAGCTGGTGAAATGAGTTCCCAAGCACACCCCTAGAATCCTCTCCAGAGGGCTGAGGGTTCTCTCCAAGCAGATATGTGGTGTACAGAAGGAGTAGTTATGCTGTATGAGCAAAAGTCCATTCATGCAAAATTTCATGGAACCCAGAGGCCCCAACCCAGAGACCAAGGGATACAGCAGGTACCAATCTTTCTTAGGAAGCCATTTCTGTTTGCCAAGCATTTCCCATGCAATCAGTTCTATCCATCCATGTACACTAAACAGAATAGAACAGAAGACACCCACTTAGTTCTATGCCATCACAGCTAATACCAGTTATTTGTCCTTAGACTCGTACCAACAGGAACATCAAACTTAGCACAGTCTTTTGAATCATACACAACACAGACTTTTAAGAGAGTCTTATTTATACTTCTACAAACAGTTGTTTTATCTGATATCTATCCTTTGGGAAATGATGGCTGTTGTTATGCTTATTATAGCATACCGTATATAGATTTATTTATAATAAATCTGCCAAGGACATAGATCTCTTTTATACCTTGCACATAATTGCCTCAGAAGTTACACAGCTTCAATGCCAAAAAAAAGTTTCCTGAAAAAATCAGATCGAATTACATGCAAGCTTAGTCTGTAGCTAAGGCTAATATCTTCTTTAGTCCAATAAACATTTATGCATGTGCTTTATTCCTCCTGGATTTATGTTTGAATCAAAGCCTCTAAACTCAAAGAGAAAAGGCATCAAATATAAGGAGGACTCATGCTGTGGAGGGCTACAAATGCACATTCTCAGCTGAACTGGACTAACAAGCATACAATTCTGTGCCCAGTTTTGTCCTCTCTCCATTTCTGCTACATCCCCTTGCCGCTATAGCTGGTGCAAATAAGCCAAGCTCTCTGCAGAGTGGTGCTTTGAAGAGGAAGCCAAGCAAGACATGCAGATAACTGGGTGAATGCAATTAGGAGCCACATTTTTCGATATATAAATAGAAGCCTGAGCAGCCTTGGGAGCATGAAGAGTTGAGCAGGGAAACTTCCCCTGCCATGCACTGTAGCATGAGGGAGGGAAGGAGGGAAAGAGAAAGAAAGAAAGAAAGAAAGAAAGAAAGAAAGAAAGAAAGAAAGAAAGAAAGAAAGACCCCTTTCCCATTTCCCAGGGCCCCAGATTTGTTAGGCCTCCTTCTGAGCAATCTGCATAACAAAAGCCTGCGTGTTCATTGGACTGAGACAATTAACATCATATCTACTTTGGCCCGCAGGCACTTATTGCAAGTCACTTTGTTAATTTTCCCTAATGGAGAAGGAAGACTGGTAGAACCAAGCTAAGGAGGAGCAGGCAGAGAACTGCTTGAACCCATGATGCTGACATATTTTTCTTTCAGTTCAGTTGCAAAGGGTAGGCAGACTACCTGTGACTGGAGTCTCCTTATGATACAATCAAAGGGCTGCTTGCTTGGGAAAGGCACTGGAGTGATCCTGTGGGCTCAAACCAAATGGAAAGCTATTTGAAAATGCGTCGTCTCCTGAAAGTTACTATGAATATATAATATAGATGTCCAATGGGATCAGTCTGAAGTCATCCCATGAGCACCAAATGTTGGCGCCATCCTCTTGTTGACTGAAAAATCAAATGGGTTCAATAGGTGGCATTAAATAATTCACTGGGGAGAGAATTTTGTTCTCAGCAATGAAGCAACATGCAAATTATCCATTTATTGTCTTCAGCTTGCTGCATCTTGTTTTGCTCCATTGTCCATTGTTGCTGTTGTTGTCTTACAATATGAGGCCATCGCTGCTGAGTGAGCGTGTCATGCTAATAATGGCCTCCGTCATCAGTATAGTCTTACGGCAACTGTGACCTCACTCATCATTGTCATTAACATTGCATAATTATGCAGATATTATGGCTTAGGGTTCTTACTTGAACTGTCCTAATATCTCAAGACATTTTAGATTTTCTCTGCTTTCCTTTTAACCATGTAAATCCTGTTGATGCTGCTCTAGCAAGCCTACTTCTCCATATGACTTTGGGATCCCAGGCAGTCACAGTGATTGAGGTACAAGGGTAAAAACATGCACGCTAATATTAGGGCATGTGAGATTTAAAGTCAATAGTCTAGTTCTAAACATATTTATTGCAGCAATAGTAATAAAACCTACTTCCAAGTAAGTGTGTTCATATTACAACTCAGCCATGGTATTGGGAAAAACAATTAAGATAAATATTAATTAGAGTCCTAGCATTGCATGCCTCTTTTTAAAAAGTATCTTCCCATACTTAATGTTAGTTCTCTGTGTTTGAAACTATTACATCAAATCATTTTATTTTGTTCATACCAGTAGCATGTATCTGAAAGAAACATTCCATAAAATGAGTTTGAAGTTCCATTCAAGTTATGGTAATATACATATTTTAATGGTGTTATACAGGATCAGAGCTAATGCCAAAAGCTCTTTCTACCAGAATAGTTGGAGGAATATGGTGGTTTTTCACATTAATCATAATATCATCCTACACTGCTAATTTGGCTGCCTTCTTGACCGTTGAGAGAATGGAATCCCCCATTGATTCGGCTGATGATTTGGCAAAGCAAACTAAAATAGAATACGGAGCTGTCAGAGATGGATCAACAATGACCTTCTTCAAGGTAAGATGGTGACAAAACATGTTGCATTGTCAGGTGAAAATAAGACCTTGTTGCTTTGGTATGGATTATGCTAGGAGCTGCGTATATGAATGTATGCACATGCATAGACACACACGAATATATACATCAATATAATTCTTACCAGTTTGGACATATTCTACCAAGTATACAAAGCATGCCTCAAATCTATGTACACCCACACAGAAAGCCATCACAAGTTTACTCTCCACCAGTATCAGGAGAGCAAGCAAACAGCTTTGTCATGCAAGAGCTTAAGAGCCCTGCTGGATCAGAGCAAGTGTCGGTTCACACACTGGTCAGTCAGCTGATATGGGGAGTTCACAGGCAGGATATGAGCTCCATTCCACCCATATTCCCCAGGAACTGGTGCACATAGGCATACTGCCTCTGATACCAGAGGTAGCATACAGTGAACAGGACTAGTAACCATTAATAGCCTTCTCTTCCATGAGTTTGTCCAATATCCTTTTAAAGTCACCCACATTGGTGACCATCACTACCTCTTGTGAAAGTGAATGCCATAGTTTGACTATGTGCTGTGGGAAGAAATGTTTTCTTAAAGTCTGAGGTACCTGATCTGGCCTAATCTCAAAAGCTAAGCAGGGTCAGGCCTGGTTAGAAGCTGCATGGGAGATGTGAAAGTATGATTCTCTAATTATTGTTGTAAACCATCCAGAAAGCTTTGGCTACAGGCAGTTTAGAAATGTAATAATAACAACAATTTTGTTACTGTATCCATTTCCCCTTCTGCCACCGCCCAATTAATTTTGCTTTGTGTATATGCAAAAGTATACATGATATGAAACCAACACTTAGGTAATTTTATGCTGGATAGGTGTGATCTAATCTAGGCAGTTGGCTCCAAACTACTTGCAAGTTGCACTGTTGCTAAGAAATACTAAATGTATTGCATAATAGCTTAATAACTATACTTGAATTTAAATAAAAATCAGGTGCCATTTGTAGTTCTAACAGCTACTTGAGATTGAGGCCTCATTCTAGGGATATCTATCTGAGTCAGATTAAAATCAATGGTTTGTTAGTAACAATCAACTTTTTTTCACTGATTTCAGTGGACTTGGGGCAACTATTTTTGTCTGGAACACGCCCATATAGATATTCTGTCCATTAGCTTATAAGATATTCTAATTCAAATCAATAATACCTTTTTTCCATTTGCTCCCCCAACAAATATATCCAAAGATAGAATGGTATTGCTAGTATTTCTTTTTTAATTTACCTGCTCATAAATTAGGTTGCATAAATCTACAAATCAAACACATTTTACTCTGGGGTGATCCCATTCAATTTAATTTAGATTTCAGGGGCTTCTGTTGGTTTATTGGTTTGATGCTTTGAGCCTGAATATGCCATGGACCTAAGAACACACACAAACAGTTGGCAATCTCAGGGAGGGCAAACCTGAACAGATGCAGGTAATTATAGTTCTCTTCCTCCCCACTGTGGAATCTATGCATGAGACACAGAGACAAAGCTAACCTTTAGGAAGCTATCACTCTAAAGATGCTGTGACAGACTGGCAAAGCTATGGGAATTTGGAAAAAAATAAGCTTTTGCATCCTCTGCCATATTCTGTGAACAAATATTTCCAGTTCTGTGGTTGTCAGCTTGGTATTTTAAAGGGCTGTTTTCACCTAGTATCCACTTGTTTGTAAGTAGATGATGAAACTGGGTTACAGACGGGGAGAGGGCATGGATTCATTGCATTTCTGTATATTTCAGACTCATCTCAAATACCAGCAATTTATACTTGTTTTATGTTTATTTTTCCTGGCAATTTACTGAAGCATACCTGCCTATTTTACATAGGCAAGTGAGTGCAGTTAATGATGAGCCTTGTTGACACCTCAGTTCATGAATGAATCCTGCTTCTTGAAGTCTGGATTATTATTAAGCCTCCTGCTGCCTTTGCAGGAGGTTTTTGTTGTGTAATCCAAAGTTTACAAATGCTGCAATGAAAATGAAAACAAAAACAGAACAAAGTACTTCTAAACAACTACTTCAAAGAGTAGTTGAATTCGGCAAATGGTGAAAGCGCTTCACATGCGTGTATGGTCAATTTCCTTTCCAATTTTTAACTTAAAACTGAGCTACATGCAAATACGTTTTGCTAAGATAGTACTGGAGACTACAGTTCCAAAGGAATTTAGTGCCACGCTGCCTGAATGGCTCACTTAGTATAGAAGCATCTTCAACAAAAGGTTGAGTTGAGATAATTTTTCATACAAGGCTGGCATTGGGCATGTCTCCCCAGAGTCCATACTAAATAAATGAACATAGTGATGTTTAGACAACACAAGTACTGAAGTCTGTGTGTGTGTGGGGTGGGGGGGGGGGTCTTTGTAAAACAGAAGACTTTACACCTTTGAAGGACAGAGAATGCATGAAGGAATTTTTATTTCCCTAGGAAAAGTTATATTTTTCTTCATTGGTTTAGCTATAGCTTGCATGTAAAAATTGCCAGGTTTAAAATAAGGAGAAGTCTGGGCTGAGTTCATTAATCCCTTGGAATTCCAGATGGCTACGGAATGGCGGCAGCAGCAGCTGGTGCTGAATTATATCCTGGTTTATTCCTGCAAAGAACCCTAGGCAGATTTGAGCTTGTACTGAGGACTGAGGAGAAAGGCAGAGTGGCTTCTAGGTAGATTTATTGATTCCTGTGGGTATTTCCCCCCCCCCCTCTCTCTCTCTCTCTCTCACACACACACACACACACACACAGAGCGAGCGAGCGAGCGAGCGAGCGAGCGAGCACAAAGTCCATGTGTCTATGTGTGCTTCAAGGAAAATTGTGTAGTGAGAAAGATTTTAACACCCCCCCCCCAAACTCTGCTCTCAATTAAATTTGGGCTGCATGTGTTGACACGAGAGTAAGAAAACCCATCACACCTAACTATACTATATGTGATTAGCAGAATCCTTAGTTTTGTCAAATTCTGCAAAAACCCAATCATGTGAGCAGGAAACACAACTGACTAGACCACCAGCAATGTGTGCAATTATTTAACTAGTTTTCCAGAAGACACTGAGTGCCAGAACTTTTTGTGAATCAGACCTAAGTAGAACTTCAATATGGGAGACAGTTAAGTTATTGTTTTTCTGTCCTAGTTTCTTATTTCTAAGGTTAGAATCATAATTACCTATTTCACAGAATTGCTGCAAGGATAAACACAAAAATTTGGCATTTTGCAACTAGGGGTTATTTTAACTAGTTACTGTGTTGTGTTGCTTGTGCATGTGCATGTATTTTCCTGACTGTAATCATGTGGAAACCTACGCTGCCCTAAGGTATAATGCAAGTTTTAGAAGTGTTTGAAATGGCATTCTATGTGCACAAAATAACCTTGACATTTAAGTCAAAAGCAATGTTTTGTTTAAGATAGCATGATGAAAGTGACATAATTTTTTTTTTGCCTAAGGTTGAATGTCAGTTTTAGCATACAGATATGTTACCCATTAAAGTTATCTCATGCTTACTATCTTGGGATCTTTCCAAGAGTTTCTGTTTATAGAAACATCAACTAGGATCAACTAACACGGCAAGCCACATTCAAAGGTTGACTATAGTCTGTGGGTTCCCGTGCTGTCTGAACAAGCTCCACTAACAAGCCAGGCCTTTTAACCATGAAGAAAACACAAATCAAACTAATGGTATCTTGAGTTGCGAACTGTGGGTTGTTTGCTATCTTGCCTGTTTGCCATCTTGCCTGTATTCACACAATGTGATAACTCACATTTCAACAACAACTCACAGTTCAGACCCACACTCAGCCCATACTCAGTCCTTAAGTGTGAGTTATGTTGCTTGCTCCTAGTTAAACATTCTCACAGAGAATTGGCTACATATGAGTATAAAGACCCACCAGTCTTGCTTGGTGAGAGCAGTCAGGAATTATTTCATAATCTCTTCCAATAAAGAGTTATGGATGGGTGTCCTGTCCATCTTCTATGTAGATTTGATAAGATTCTTAAACTGGTGCCATCCAAGGGGGGGCTAGTTCAGAAATGTTGCGAATTGTAGGGATTGTGCTCTAAAGGACTCCCAATCCTATGGACAGAAGAAAATCATGCAACAAGGTTGACTGCAGAATAATGGGAATTCAGAGACTTTTTTCTGTTTAAACATCCATTGCACTTTAATTGATTTTACCAGAAAAAGTTTTCATTCCCAGTATTGCTAAAATGAATAAGATTATGACCATAATATTCTTTGTTGTGGACAAGAGAAAGCACAAGGGTGTTAGATCACTTGAAGGTTTAATTATTTGAATACAGATTTTTGCATTTGCAAAACTGAGAACTCTGAAACCTAAATGCTGAATCTGAAAAACAAGTAACTGACCATCAATTGATAACTTAGATTCAAAGCCTTTGTTTTCATTTGGTTATTATTTCCCATCTTTCCATCAAAAAGATGGCACTTATGGTGGAATTCTTTCTTTAAAACATTTAAATATATTCATTATCAAATCATAGAGCAATGTACCAAATGTACTATTTGTTTGATTATTTTGTTTGCTGTTTTAAATATTTACCTGTACATCCTTTGTTTGACATTACAACCTTTTCATAACAGAATACTTAAAAATACGTTCTACCACAATTAAACAAAGCAAAACCAAACCTCTTTCGTTGCATTATTAACTGCAAAGTCCTCAACACACGTGCCTTCATTGAAATTGTGCCCTTTTGAGACAAAAACAATTAAGGAGACCACATGCTCAGTACTACAGCCTGATAGAAACAAAAATTATCTGTAAAAAATTTTGCTTATGGAGCTAGGTTTACTGGAGCAGAACTAAATGTGAAAGAATTGTAACATCTTTCTCCTACAGTCAAAACAGATAGTTGGTTCCATCCAGGAATGCTTTGCAGTTAGCATGTGTGAACAAGGTCTGTTCCTGATACGTATATTTCTCTTTTTTAGAAATCGAAAATATCAACATATGAGAAAATGTGGGCATTTATGAGCAGCAGGCAGCAAACAGCTCTGGTGAAGAATAATGATGAAGGAATCCAACGTGTGCTCACCACAGATTATGCTCTGCTGATGGAATCAACCAGTATAGAATATGTTACTCAGAGAAACTGCAATCTCACTCAGATTGGGGGACTCATTGATTCCAAAGGTTATGGTGTAGGAACACCCATTGGTAAGAAACGTGTGCATATCTTTGGTGAGTGGGAGACTGTGCAAGGCAAATAAGATCACTTGTTAATTTCTCCTGTTTGGCATGAGAAGTGCAGTACAGCTCTGAGGAAAAGTAATGGTAATGGTGCATTTTGCAAATACATCTAAATAAGCACCGCAATGTACTCTTTTATATCCCTGGAGCATTGTGATGATAAGAGGCCACACGGAATAACTGCATTGCTAGAAATTTCCTTTCCAATTCATTAAAATTCAAACCTTCAGGCATTAAATAACCAAGTCAAACTAATCCACCCTACTTAACCTTTTCTCTTTTCATCCATTTTAAAATGTAAACTGTGGGAGACACTAGAACAGAATTTGAAATACTGAGTGAAGATGAAGGTCTCCCCATACAGAGAGAAAGGTATAGGACTGCATTTTATTGAGTTTATATACTGACGTGTGCAAGGACTGCCTATTCATGACCTGCCAAGGCAGTCTACCTTTAGCTGCTGTATTAAAGGTGAGTCTATCCTTCCATGATCCAGCAGTGCAGTCGGCTGCAGGGTCAAGTCAGGATGCCACCTGAATTGCCTTTTGGTGTCAAGGGAGACTCTCCTGATGCACAAACCCTCTGAACCACAATATTTTGAATGTATGAACCAGGCAAATCTTTGCCACCCTACATATCCCAAAGTTCTAACAATTCATCTAAGGAATTCCCAATCTCCATCTTGGTTTCTTTGGTTGTTTATCAGTGGCTTCTGCTTGAAACCTATTTCTTGCCTTGCACTGCCCTGCTGTTTTGACACATATACCATTACCTCATGTTAACCTCCAGTTCCTCTTAGCTGCAGGAGATTAGGAGAACAATCTGGTTTTCTTGACTCAGCCTGATCCACCAGCAAAGAAAAATGATCCCACTTGGCCCCTCAGCAATCAAGTAATCCTACAATAGGAGTGGGCAGCTTGAGGACCTCAGGATATATTGTCCTACAACTGCCATGATCCCTTGCCATTGATTAGACTGGCTAGGGCTCAAGAAACTTGTAGGTCAGAACATCTGGAGACCACATTTTGCCTACTCCATAACCTATACTGAACACAATGAGTGTAGATACCCAGCATGAGAACCAAGATGTTATTGATGGGCAGCTTCTGGGCTTGAATATCCTTTCTGGCCCTGCTCCTACACCATCCAGTGTGAAGAAGTAACAGGCATTGCACATTTACCTTCATGCCCCACCTCATGTTGTGGCTGGCCACAGTGCGAAATAACCCCAGCATCTCTGCAGGCTTGGGGGAAGGAACAGGTTTCATGTGAAGCACAAGTGTACTCTCAGAAAAAGTCAATATGTAGCCTAGCAATGATGAGATGTTGGATGCTACTAGGGAAAGTGCAGCAGAAGTCCTGTTAATATAATCTACCAGGCTGTATTGGACTGCACATCAGCAGCATGTGTGACAGAGAAGGGGACAATATGCTGAAACGGAGCAGGGGCAGAGTCTTATACTGTAAGGAGGCTTACTCCCAGGTATGTGCATGTAAGATTGCAAACTTAATTCAATATATGTGTACAACTGTCCATTCATCATCCATTTGCTTATCATCTATCATTCCAGAGGCAAATTATTATTGACTTTCAATATATGAAAGCTGAGAATATTGGGACCAGATTTATCTGAATTGTTCATTTGTAAAGTTTTGTTTCATTGAATAATATTCTTCAGTACATTTTATCTCTTGCATGAAAACATTCTCCTATCCCCTAAGGGGGGGAAATGCAGATGTTCTAAGGGAACAATCAATGCACTGGAAAGCAGTGATAACGATTCGATTCAGTGCTTCAAACCCAAAACAATGAAGGAATAAGCTAGGGCAGATGGTGGTTCCTCTTGCAGCGGTGTGCATCAGAAATACAGCTGGGGTGGAGGGGGCGGTTGTGAAGTTGTAAAGGTGTCTTGTAAGATTAACAGACTCTTAAAGAAAAATGTGGGAAGTTACATGTGTGTTTGTGATAAAAGCAATAATTTCAAAGTCATGCACACAATTTAAACAAAAGTTTCAATCCTTCATAAGCCAAGATGAATTATAATGCACATAGATGTTGTCTTTTATTATTTAGGTTACTGCCCTTTTGTCTCCTTTAGGTGTTGAATTGGTATTCTTGAGGCACCTAAAGCTGGACCAATTTTATTGTAGCAAGAGTTTTCTTGAACTAAAGCCCACTTTGGGTACAATCCTATATACATTTCAGCAGAAAAACGGTCTGCAGTCCTGAACATGCATAGGACTGTGCCCTTCATCAGAGAAGAATTCTTTGTGTCTCTTCCGTAGGAAGATGCCTTAGGCTGAGTCGGACCCTTGATCCTTCTACCTCAGTGCTGCCCACTCTGATAAGCAGCAGCTCTTCAGGCAGGATTTTTTCTCAGCCCTCCCTGGAGATGCTGGGACTGAATCTGGAACCTTCCACACGCAAAGCACACGCTCTTCCACAGAGCTACGCAGCCCCTCAGCACTGGAAGACATGGACTCTCCACCATGGAAACTTATGCCAGAATTGTTCTTGCTGTTGTTGTTTCCATTTCTATTCTGCCCCACAGCTGAAGCTCTCTGGCTGTTAGTCTTTAAAGAGGCATATCCCTGTTAGGCTTCAAAGAGGCACAAGACTCTTTTTTATATTTATATCAGGGCTTATATTCTGGAATTTGAAGTGCTAGTACCACCCTTTAATGAAAGAAACATTTCATTCTAAGCAAACAACAGTATTATTTTTACCTGACACTAGTAATACTGAATATTTTTTCTTATACCACTATTTATATATGAGAAAGCATTATATGCCATTATGTAATGTAAGGTTTTTCTTCATATAATGTAGACTTCTTGAGAGAGATTTGTCCTTGTCTTAGAACATTATACTATACAATTTGGATATTTAGCTTTGATCATAGATCAGCAGGTAATCATGCTATGCATAGTCCAGGAACAAAGAAATCATCTAGAAATTTTCAGTTTACAATTTTAGCTGTTATTCTTTTCCATGCTTCTTTTTCTGAAACACATTTTACTCCTTTCCTGAGTTCAGCTGGGAAAATGTCATCATTCCCATAGCAGGTTTCTAGGCAAGTGAAATGATCAAGTCAAAAGTCACAGCAGATCAGCACAAATGATTATATTAGAATGCTTTCTTAGAATCAAACTGATTCAATCTTCATATAAGAATCTATTTTAATGTATCATTTATTTCTCCATGAACATTGAAATCTTATGAAAGAGACAGAAATAAGTAAAATGTGGAAGATCAAATATCACTATTTTGGATAAATATTACCCAGGTAGTGGATAATGCAGGGAGTGAAGGAGACTTGCAGGATGCAAAGGTTTTTGCTACACGTGTCTGTCATTAACAATCTAATATCAGAAGCCCTGATACAGCTGCTGATGACATTTTATACTGAGGCATATATCAGTGACCCACAGAGTGAAGCTACATGGAGGTAAGGTATCTATGCAGATAGAGATACCATGAGACCTTAACAATTCCATGAAGCAAAGTGAAAAGGCAAGAAGGAAATGCTGTACAGATTGCTGCTTCATAGTTACCAATAGTCCATGGCACAAATAAAACATGAATATAATAATTGTAAGTGGTACTGACTTCAAGATGGCAGAGTAATGCAGCATAAAAGCTCTAAGAGAAACAATTGGTCCTTCCAGATGGACAGCTCCTAGCACTACATTTTTGGAAGTGGGAAAGATGGCTGCTTTTATTCTCAAGGACTGCTTGTTGGACTTCAGAAGACCCAGAATGGGAAGCAGAACTGGGGGCCTTGCAATGTGGGCCATGCTAGGACACTCAGATAAGAGAATGGGAAACACTTATCTCAAGGCCAGACCTCCAGGTGGACAGGCAGTCTCTGGGAATAACCATGATGCACAGCTAGCAGCAGGGGACTCAGAGCAGGGGAGTTTCTCAGACACAGACCAGGTGGCCCTGGCTCTTGACCCCATGATGCAGTGACACCAGAAAAGGGCAACCCAATTAGAGGATTGGCACATGGAGTGGATGTGTGCTCTCTTTTCAAAGGCCTCTCCTGAAAGGATGTGGCCCAGGCACACTCGTAAGGAGAATTCCTGGAGGTGATTAGTAGGTTCAGTTCAACAAACTGCTCTCTGCATGCTCTGAGATTCACCCTGGGTGTTTTGTGCATTTTGGCCAATAAATAATGTTTTGCAAGGAAAATGGTCTATGGCTTTTGAATGTATGAAGGAGGAACCTTGGCTCCTGTCAGCTTGAACCTAAACTGGGCTCCCCACAGTTCTGCTTCACATTCTGATTATGATTCTTCTGAAGTCCAACCAGCAGACCTTGAGAACAAGTGCCCAAAGCAGCCATTTTTTTCTCATAGACAATGGCTGAGTTCAAGCAACACAAGCCATGCTGGGGTTTTTACCATGGTTGATCTGTCATGGTATCTGACCCCAATCATGCTAAGTTAGGACTTCAGAAACCATACTAAGAAGCAGTGGTTTGTTCTGTGGTTCTGCCATACCACCATGACATGTTATGCTATCTGAACCCAGGATCATGATTTCCGTGGTTCTCGCATGCAACCACAACAGAGTCTCCTGGAAAGAACATCAACTGCAGGGGCTACTCAAACCATCCAGTCTCTGTTAATGGACCAATGACAAAAAGGCAGGTGACATAGGGAACAATGCAGCTTGGGATTGAATTTCATGCACAGTGGCTGATGGGATGCATGTCAACAGTGAGAGGACTGAGTGGGGAAGATGGGAACCACAATAACATAGAAACCATTTGATTTTTCTGTCAGGTAGATCATGGTTTAAAACAACAACAACAACAGTTAACTGTGGTAACCACAGAAGGTTCCTTGTTGTGTGAAAACAACCAGTGTGTGATTATTTCTGGCAGTATCCTAGTTCGTAACACCAGTCCCATTGACTTCTTGCTCCATTTTGCTTCCCGCTGAGAAATATTGGGTAAACTGGGTAAATTAATTGGGCAAATTAATCCTTGAATGCAGTGCTGCTAAATATATATAAAATGCCTTAAATTGTGTTTTGATTCCTACCACTTTGTATCTCCGTGCATGCTGATCCCCTTGTTATACTGGTTTCCCAAGGGATCTCTAGCAGGATGCCAACAGAGTTAGCTGATGCGATAACTTTCCTGTGAAAAACTCAGCTTACACTATTGAGTTACCTCTAGAGGTTGCTTTGCAGAGCCCGGGATCAATTCTCTATCTCTTCCTTGGGGAAGTCTTCTTTCCCTCCCCTCTTCCCATTGGAAGTGATGCAGTGCAGATGTTTGTGTGTGAGGAAACAGTTTTGAATCAGAGATTTGAAGGAAGAAACAGAATTGAGCCTGGATGCTGCAAAAATATTGGGATGCTGGTTGCCTCCTTGGAAATTTGATGTGGACTGTGCAGGAGTCTTTAAGCTAGTCTGCCTGCATTTTTGTAAATAAACAAACACTCATAAAATGCTAGTAAGTTTCCAGTGACCACAGCTAAAGGGTGCATGTAACAAGATGAAGTGCATACTCTCTTTTTTGCAGGATTCAGAATACAAAGAGCTACATCAGGTTGGCACCTCATCTTTTGCCTGCGTTCTTACTTAGATGTCCTATTAATCTTGATTTGCGTTTTCTTTTTTTCTTCAGGCTCTCCATATAGAGATAAAATTACTATTGCCATCCTCCAGTTACAAGAGGAAGGAAAACTGCACATGATGAAGGAGAAGTGGTGGCGAGGCAATGGTTGCCCTGAGGAGGACAGCAAGGAAGCCAGTGCCCTTGGTGTGGAGAATATTGGGGGCATCTTCATAGTGCTTGCAGCAGGACTTGTTCTTTCTGTTTTTGTAGCCATTGGAGAATTTATTTACAAGTCAAGAAAAAACAGCGACATTGAACAGGTAAGCAAAGTTTTGGAGCATCTGGGTAATACAACCACAGGTCAAAACTCCGAGGATTAGCTTGAATGCAGGGGATCCCACGGAACTACACAAAAGCTGCTTTCTCTTCCTTTGAGCCAGGGGGCTGAAAAGATTCTAGATGAGCTGTCCTGCACTGGGCAGCCCAGAAAAAATTGCTTCCTGAGGTGGAGCAGCAAATGGCATTCATGACCCCATCTTAGGGGCATAGTGCCCAAGGATGGTCAAGAGATTCTGGAAAATGAGACAGAAACACCTAAAAGTTTCTCTCCTTGAGAGTAAATTACCAGAAGAACTGAACTGACAGCTTACTGTTCTTTCATGGCATGAAAACTCAGCTGCCTGAAGTAGCTACCTCACTCTGCCAAATAGAAGGGCCAACTCAGTGGATCCGCAGCTAAAAGCAAGGTCCCAATTCCATGATATAGGCTAACTGTCAAGCTAGACTTGTTTCAGCTTAAATTTCAGGTGCAACGGGAAATTAAGCTTCCTGCCTGCAGGAGCCTGTCACAACTCAGGTTGGATGAATAGGTGCAGGCTATGGTGTTTCAGTATGAAAGTTCTATGTGAATTTCAATTTGGACTAGGCTATTGCACTAGGAATCCAGCTCCTCCATCTAAGCTTTGCCAAAATTTTTGCTGACATGGAGTACCACCCAATCTGTGCTAGTCAGCCAATTATTATTTGTTGATGATCCTAAAGGACGGTCTGCTCCCATATATACCTACCTGTCCATGAAGATCTGGAGAGGAGGATCTTCTAAAAAGGGATAAAGAAGATGGTAAATAGAAGAAGGGCCTTCTTGGTGGCTGCCCCTCAACTAGGGAACAAAGAAATCACCTGGGGCCAAAGAAATTCAGCTGGTGCCAACCTTGTTTTCATTTTGGCACCAGGCAAAAACATTTCTTTTCTCTGAATACTTCTAAGAATAGTCCTGAAATTTGTTGTTTGTTCTGACATCTGTTGTTCTGCTTAGTTGGTTTAATTCTGATATTTATTTTTTAACTTTTTATTGTGATTTCAATTGGATTTACTGTTTTTTAGTATTTTATTACAATCCCTCTAGAGAATCCATTTGGATTAGTGGGTGGCCTACAAATTCAAAAGAAAATATAAATACAGAAAGGCAGGCAGGCAGGCTGAGCAGAGAAGCTTGAATCTTTGCCTTCCCTAGCAAAACTGCACTCCTGGTAGTCCAACAAAGAGATGTTGGATGGGCTCCGGAAAGCAAAACTGAAATGGAGAAGATGCATGGGGAGAGCAGATTGGTGATCTGGGGGTGGGGATGCATGAAATGGTTTTATTACATGAGGGGGAGGTTTAAATCTCCCCATGCCTGAGTGTTTCGATGGCAGGGAGGGAGAAAGAGAGCGTGAGAGGGCAAAGGTGACGCCTGTGCATAGGCGCATTTGCTTGCCATGTGCACATGGCTGTTTCGCATGCCTGGTTGCACAGCCGTACTCACCTCCCAGCAGCACAGGCGACCCTTCCATAAAGGCCATGAGTCAGTGATGATGGAGTTGTCATCACCATGCTGAAAGAAAATTGTTAAGCATTGAAAGAAAGATGTAAGAGAAATATGAATGGTGGGGCATTCGCACAGATTGCTAGATTCTTAAAAATATTAACATTTGAATTGTACTATAAGTACAAAGATACGCATTCTTCATAGTTCAGCTTATTATTGCATTTTTTGAAATTTTTCATTTTCCATAATTATGTCCTATAGTTTTGGCATCATTTTCATTCTAAACTTTTTTTGTTAGGTTGGTTAATCATCTTTATCTTTATTTTGTTCTTCTTCCATCTTTTCCTTTCTACATGCCACCAGGCCTTTTGTTTCTTTTATGGACTGCAGTGCAAGCAAACTCATCCATCCAACTCCACTTCTGGAACTACTTTATCTACGGAGTTAGACTGTGGCAAATTAATTCGGGAAGAACGAGGGATTCGAACACAGCCCTCAATTCATACTGTATAGTTACAGTAAGGCAAAGGTGTGTTCAGATAATAGCAAACCTCCTCGACAATCTATATGAAGCTGAAAACATGTTTGACTCTGATCCAAAGAGTTACCACTAGTTTTTTACCTGTGACCATATTTGCTCTAAAAAATTGTTTCTAATAGTAGCCCCACAACAAATGGTAAACTACTTTTGAAAATAAGAGGACTTTCCGAAGGACACAGTGATGTGGCATCAGGATCTTCTGTACAAAGAAGGGCAACACACACAAACACACACGAAATCACCATCATTTAAGGGTGTCTTTACAATACTTCTTTGAGTACAATACCTTGGGAGGAATTGCTAAAACTGTTGGATGATCCTCCACTCATTGTGACAACTGATATACTTAAGTGCTTAATAAATGTCAAATCATAACATAATACAATATTGCAGATTATTGCTTTGTAGAATACAGGATATTCAGGTTTCTTTAATGGCAATGGACAATCATCCCATCTAGCAAGGGAGGTATATACATGGAAGGAGATTTTTGGATACAGAAGCCCTTCCCCAATAGGAAAGCAGTTCACGCAGGTCAGACACAATCCCACAAAACCAGGAATCAAATCCCATGCACTGTGCAAGCACTATCTCTTTTGCGTCATGTGCAGCAGCCCGAGCAATTGCTACATGTGGTGTGGAGGAGAGACACTGCTAGCAGTCACACGGGGTTTTGTTCTTGGCAGGTCCTGCATATCACTATCAGTGTACTTTTTCACATCATGTTTGGAATGGTGCACCCGACATGGAGGAAGGTTGATCATGTGGGGCTTCCCAGGAATCAAGCCCCATGTGCCACTCAAGAAGCGTCCCTCTTTTGCATCACCTGCAGCAGTTGCTTGTGTTGCTTCACCTGATGCAGAAGACTGCCAGTTGTGCAACCTTCACTCCACAAGTGTTCACAGACTTGCAGAACCAGGTTGAGCAGCATGCCCAGAAGCCCACAAATACTAGACACACAGTTTCTTCTTGGGTCCAACCCAGCCCTAGTGCTGGATCACCAGCTGCATGCCTGGGTAGTTGCAACTGCATTTTGATTGGGCTTAATAACTTCTTGCCAGTCTTTTTACAAGATGCAGTGTTTGAGGGTAAAACTAATTTGCTTTCATTTTCCTTTCCTATTCAAGCAAAACTAATTAAAATCACACTCATCTTTCAGAAGAGGAACAGCTAAGAGGGAAGGTTTTAGATATTCATTTTTACCCAAAGCTAAATATTTCCTCTCCAAGCAGAAGTATTCAGGAGGCTTATGCTTGAAGACCATAAAGCTGCCTAGGAAGGCCTTTTGGCAGTTATAGGTGGCATATAATATGTGAACAAACAAACTTCACAGAAGTTTCTGGCAGACAGCATCAAAATTACACTAGCACAGCAACATAATGAGTCTGACAATGCAGTCCATTTCTATGTACTTTACAGTCCACTGTTTTTATAGGAATGTTTTATGGGCTATCCAATGTTGTTGGGTAAACTCAGTTTAAGACACATGTAACCTAGCATTGGATGCATGGAAATGCACTTCTGTGAGCTTATTCCTGGCTGGATGGGGAAACATCTCTACAGCTTAGTGCTGCGTACTTAATTCATGCCTTTGAGCCAACAGCTGGCAGAGTGCTCGTAGAGCCCTTTTTAAAAGATAAAACCCCAGTAATCAGCTCTAACAGAGAAAGTATATAGTAGTATCCATATAACTTTTTCCCTTTGATGTCTCTTTTTCTATGCTACAATTCTGGTCATTCAAGTATAAAAAGTCTTTGCAGTAACTAGATAATTTCTTAAAACCATTTTCCACAGCAAAGATTTCATCATACTCTTAGACAGCTTGGGCAGTTTCAAAATTACTCATGTTTATACCCCAGTCCTCACTGTCTTTACCTGGGAGTTACACTGATCTTAACAGAAAGTACTTATGATTAAAACTGCAACCTTAGACTAATAAATGTTTAGTAAAAAGAAAAAAAGATTCCAGGAGCAATACACTGCCACTGATAACCTTATATTATGTTACTGTAGGCAATTAACAATTTTCTCTATCAAACCTGCAGTTTGATCCAAGGCATAAAATTTAGAATCTGGGGCTTAATTTAGAATAATTATAAATTCTGTTTCTAATGCATGCTACCACCAATTCAAAAGTGAGTTTTGATAGTGTCCTTGGCCTCCATGTTTCTATTCCTAACTATTCTAAACCATGGCCACTCTCCAGGTAACTCAATTTGTGTGTTAACTCATTATGTGCTTTTAAAACTAATTTATCTTGGTGATCAATGCAATAAAAAGCATGATAGCAAAGAAATGAAAAAGTTGGGTATATGGCACACGATGAGTATATAATGACAGGCATGCAGCTTTCAGAAGAGCTTCCACATGGGTTTTGCATACACCTCCTGTGTAAATTAGCCTAATTTCTTCCTTGAACAATTTTATGGACTTTTCAGAAATATTTTTCAATCCTTCCTTGTGTAGCAGACCTACGCAGACATTTGGTGAGACGCCCACAGTTAGCTGTCTACAAATGCATTTTATGTTCTTTGCATCATGGTAGAAACATATCTGCATTATGTGCAGACAATATGCTCACCAACCACACATGCCTGTCTGGGTAGGTTCACATCATCAGAGAATGAAAATAAGCCACTATAGGTCATTTTCCTGCCCCACACATGCCTGTTGCACAGTGCTAAATTGCTGTAATTACCTCGCCAGGCACGGCTTGATGTGCAGTCTAAGCGCAGTGAGAGCCGTGTTCAGGGGCAGCTTACGAACAACCCCTACAACAAGTCATGTATTCTGGGTGTCTTGCAAACCCACTTTTACTGGGTTTAGGCAACATGACCAACAGTGCTCAGTGGGGGTCATGATGGCAATTAGGTGGTGCAAAGCCAGTATGTGCAAGATGGGAGAAACAAACTGTGGTGGTTTATATTTGTAATACAATTTTGCAAATCTGTACTCTGCCTTCCACTCTGTCCTTTCCATCTTTCTATTAATTATCTTCTTTCTTGTTCCATTTCAATTTCCACTGACTTTAAAATTCTGGCACAGACATTGTGAATGCACTCCAGTTTTCATTCTGTCTGCATGTTAAAAGAAATAGTTTCTACAAGGGATATCCTTTTTTGATCCTTTTTTCCCCTCTAAGCTCTTGGCAGTAAAGATAATTAAGGATTTCTGAGTCTCCCTCATCCACTTTTCTAGCCTCAGACTTTTTCACATGCTGCACTTTGCTTCTATGTCCAGTTCATTTGAAATGGGTCACAGTGGACAGGAACATGGGAAGGTGATTCATAAAAAGTCAGACAACTGCTCCATCGGTCTCTGCATTCTCCACTTTGACTGGCATTGACACTTTAGAGCTTTAGACAAGAGTCTTCCCCAGCCTTACCTACAGACACCAGACATGACACCTGTGACCTTTTGCATGGCATGCATGTGCTCTGCCATTGAGGTATGGCACAATTCTGCAAGCAAAGAAGACTTTCTGCTGTGTGTATGCATAATCTCAGCAGATTACAACCTTCCACCTTCCAAGTGCACAGCTTCCTGTCCAATGACCCCCACAAACACGCCATACGGCAGGTTGTTTTGTAAACATAAGGGAGCCACAAAGTCTATTTTCAATGCAGCAGATGGAAGGGGAAAAATGGAATCCCTATTGGGTGAGTACAAGTCTTCCCACATACCCTGAGCAGGTTCAATATATTATAGCTTTTGTGCCCTTTTCAGTTTCTTCCTTGCAATATATTCTCTTCATTACAACAGAATAATTTATAGCATTCTTGTCTTGAAAGAAAAATATGTATGGCTTACAGAACTAAACTCCCAGTATGGCACTTGGCTATACAATCTGGATACCCACAAATGTTTCTTTCCAGTTAAATTCTTGTTATTCACCACCACTATAGTGTCTGTGACCAGGACAGCTGCTCTTTTAAATGCTACTCCTAAAACTTCTTTTTAAAACATGTTAATGTGAAGATGTATCCTGATTTGAGATGTTCTGGGTATACTTAAAGAAAAAAGCAAACCAACATCTGTCTTCCTTTCTGATCCCTTGTTGTACAACACTTGAGAACGAAAATGCTTAGAAAGAAAATGCTTAGAAACAGAGCAAGGGGCCTCCTGGTCCATCTAGTCTGACCTCTGATACCAGCCGGCTCTGCTCACGACATGCCCACCATATGGATGTCCAGCCTATCCTTGAACACCCACACCGATGGGGCCGCAACGACCTCCCGTGGAAGCCTATTCCACACCCTCGGGGTCCTGACTGTCCGGAAGCGCTTCCTGGCATCTAAATGGAACCTTGGCTCCCTGAGCTTTGCTCCATTGGAGCGCCTCCTGCCTTAGGGTTCTATCAAATATCATCCCAGTAGTGCAAAGCGTCTACCATTTGCAGAAACCCTATTTTTCTTTTTTACACAAGTGTAAGATCCAAGACTTCAATTCTGCTTAGGCAAGGTGTTATTCTGATTGTTTTTTCTTCACTGGGCTAGAGGTAGCATACATTAGTTATGAAGCCATTCTGGTAATGCTTGTGCACCTGCTAGCAGAACAATATTAACTCTCCCGATTTTTCTGGTAGAGTAATATTGGCTATAACACTTTGTTAAACCCTTCTCCTATTGCATTCTATCTTAGTCATGCCAAAAAAACCTCTGTCAATAAGTTCACAACCTCACCATCATCAGATTACTTCAGTGTGTCAACTCGGTAATACTTTGGTTCATCTTATGTAGAACTAATAAGCTTTTTTTTTCAAATTGAAAATTCAAATTCAAGTCTTTGCAGGAAGCTGCAAGTGTATTGGTTACTCTACCACCTGGTTGATCCCACTGGAGAGACAGGACTCCAAGTTTTACCAATCCCTCCCACAGCCCCTTTTGGGACAGAAAATATGCTCTGGAGGATTGTGGACTCTCCAGAACAGTTTGCTAGATAGAAAACATCCAGACTTTGCCTTTAGCTAAGATCCCCTGCTAGATCCTGATTTCCTTCACCTGGATACCTTCTATTGGTGGATGGGAAATTGTGGATCCAACCCATTATCTATGAATCTTTTAAGCCAAAAAAGCTTGATCATCCTAATTTATATTTTCAAGGGGCCCATGGTTTGATAGTTTTCAATTCTCTACATACAAAGTACCGCTACTAGATGATGCTTGGATTTCCCCTATGGGATTACACAGAGGATTTCATACTTCTAACAGTTCTCACAGTGTAATGTTAAACTCAGCTCTTATTCCAGCCTTCCTAACAAGGTGACTTCCAGATGTGTTGGACTGAAACTGCCATAATTCAGAGCCAGCAAGGACAGTAGCATTAGGTTAGGGATGGTTGCTTTACTCAGATTCCCAGCACTTGATCAACCATTAATAAAGAAGCCTAGCAACGTTTAAAATTTCACATTGATTAGAAAATGTAATGCCATCAGAATCTACTGCATTAGAGTCCTGATTCAGTTCAGCAAAATATCCCAATGATACTGGACAAATCCAAACCAGTCATCAGTGGTATGCTATAAATGTGTTTAGAATCTAGATGTACTTTTTATGCCATAGGGTGAAAATATGTTTTAAATATAATACTTTAAAAATCTTTTCCAACTTTTACCAGTGTCTTTCTTTCAATGCCATAATGGAAGAACTTGGAATTTCACTCAAACATCAGAAGAAATTAAAGAAAAGGTCACGAACAAAAGGACGGTCATCATTCACAAGTATCCTTACTTGTCATCAGAGACGGACACCAAGGAAAGAAACTATGGCTTGAACAAGTGCAGCTTTCTCTATAGACAATATTAGGAATAAAATGAAAAAGGCAAAAGATTTTTTAAAATGAATGCCTACCATTCAAACATGTGGAGAAATTTCTGAAAAAGGGACTCTTATTTCTTGGAAAGTCTGTATGACTTTTCCTTGTTTTAATGTAGAGGCAGTACAGCAGCTTCTGTGCTCATAAGAGTGATGGACAACTAATTGCCTGGGAAGTGTCTCACTCCAACTTTTGAAATGATAGATCACTTATTTTGCATCTCTCTACTCTCTCATTCATTGTTGTATGTACTTTCTAAACAAATAAAAACTGGGATTTTTCAATATTTGTCTGTGGTTTCATTTCCTCATCAGAAGTCCTCTGATTTGCTCCTCTGCCATGATCATTCTGAACCTATGAGGCTGCCTCACAGTGGGTCAGACTGTTGCTTTATCCAGCCCAGTGCAATCCGCTCCAAGTGGCAGAAGTCTCCTGATCCCAGGAATGGTCCTAGATGGTAGGGGTGAGCAATGTGTGGACCTTCAAGAAAATGTCAGCTGCAATCCCCATCAGCCCTCACCAACATAGCCAGTAGTGAGGGATGACGGAAGGTTCAGTGGAATATCTGGACACTACAAGTTGCCTACCTCTGCTTTACAGCCTAAGAGAAATAAACAAGTGTATGGGTAAGTTTGTTGTGAACTAGGAACAAGACCATTTTTCTTGTTCTTTTGAGTGTGTGCGCTATAGGTCACACCAAATCAAATTGCCATGCAGATGCAGCCAGCACTGGTGAGATTTGAAGGAATGGACACGGGGCACACGTTGGCTACAGCTACCCTAAATTATCTGCAGGTCAAAAGTTAGCTAGTTCTGCTTTATTCCTGGTTTGCTCCAGCCAGTCTTTGCAGCCTGTCTTAATTTTGTTCTGCCTTTGTGGAACTAATAACAATGTCTGCTTTCATCAGAGAAATGGTAAATATGCCAATGCCAGTTTCTCCCCTTTTCACACTTTTCCAATCTTAAATTCAGTTTAAGAAGGGTTTTTAAAAAATGAGTGAATATCCACTAAAATGCATTCCTGAGCAGATCTTTAGACATCTTTGTCTTAAGACATGCATTTTCATGCGCTCTTGTCTCATAGCACATATTTGCATGCAAGTTTCCTGGCAGAATACATTTAAACTTCTTTTCAGTAATATATGCATTTAAGTGTATGCTTTGCCCTGCTATGTGCATGTTGGTAGACTTTAACTGGAGCACTCCACTGCAAAATTCAGAGGAGTGTGAATTTTGAAGGATAACTGAACTTTAGTTCACATCTTTTTCAAATGTAAGGTAAGTCTACATTAAAATCTAAGCCGTTTCCCCCAACCTGTGTCCTGATTCTTGCCACTAAAAAAGGGAGGTATTGATATTGACTTCTGTTTTAGCTAATAAATGTACACTGTGACCCAATACAATTCTACTCAAAAGTAATCCTCATGCAGTTCATG